GGTCCGCTAGTTCAGACTCCGTGCCCGCGGCTACACGCGGCACGAACTAGGTAGTTCGGATTAGGCTTCCTATTCCGAACTACCGGTATACCTCATTCCATGAGGAGTAACGGTAGTTTGGAATAGGAAGCCTAATCCGAACTACCTAGTTCGTGCTGCGTGTAGCCGCGGGGCACGGAGTCCAAACTAGCGGACATTTAAAAATGGCGGCGCCCGGCAATATGCAAATGAAGCCCAGGAAATTCAAATCCCCGGCTTCATTTGCAACTCCGGTTGCCTACATTAACCACCCTCGTTCGAACTAGGGTGGTAGTGTAGACATACCCTTAGAAAGTGGAGGAGAGCTAAGAAAATCAGGGTGATTTCTTAACGTCAGCATTTCTTATCTTATTTAAACACATTTTTCATTGAAAGTTCAGTTTTGATTGTAAATCGTTACAAAAAGCTTTATTAGACTTTGTCCTGTGATGGCCTTTTGAGAGAAGTCTCAGTTTTAGGGCTTTGATATTTAGTTTCTGGGACTGCTTCCCCAGCAAGCAGTTCAACTGAAGGTTATAGGCAGAGACCCACACCTTGTCCAATAAAGCCATATTGGGAGCAGACTGATGGTCTTGGATGCATGATGTTTATAGGGCTCTTTGACACACTGCAAGTGTTCCTTAAGCTTCCAGTGCACTCTCAGTGTAGGAGGGAGGCTAAATCCATGGTGGACACTACTGGGTAACTCATGGTGCAAGACTGGATGAAAGTGCGGGTAAAAGCCAGAGTCTACAAAGGGGTACGTTTAGATTACATCATTGTTATAAGTTTATTCCTTCCTGAAACTATTTTGTGAATTTGATGCAAATTTCATGCAAAGCTGCATTTTTCAGCAATTAAGCTATTTTATTCAAAATATTTTACCCAGCTCTACATGCAGCCTGCCAGTTGAATCCACACTCCTCAAAGAAGACAATAAGGCACCAAGGCCAAGAAAAGGCAATATTGTATTGTAATGGGTGTCCATGACTACTGAGCTCATTGTGAAAAGACTTTTTTTTTTTGCAGGGGACTAAGACATCCAGCCCTCAAACCTCTTTCTTTTGGTGTGTAAGTCCCTCCTATCACAGTTCCTCTCTCAACCCTACCAGCTTATGTCATCTTCTCTTGGGCTACGTCTACACTGCAGGCTTCTTGTGCAAAAACTGTTTGCAGAAGAGTGCATTCACACTGCTATGTGCTTTTGCGCAAGACAGCAGCCACACTGCCATGGATGCTCTTGCACAAGAAAGCTCTGATGGCCATTCTATGAATGGCCATCAGAGCACCTGTGCTTTTTCTGGTAGGGGTTTCTTGTGGAAGAAACCCCTGTTGTCCATCCACACACACCTTTTTGCGCAAGAGCTCTTGAGGAAAAAGGCTTATTCCTCATAGAAAGAGAAATTACTCTTACGCAAAAAGGCCTGTCTGATGATCTACTGTAATTTTTATTGCACAAAAATAGGCTTGTAGTGTGCATGCTCCGTGAGTTTTTGCACACAAACTTCCATTTTTGCACAAAAACTCTGCAGTGTAGATGTAGTCTTAGTGCTCAAAAGATGGGACCAAGGCACTTGCAGATTCCAGTATCTATAATACCATAGATACATGAATAAGCCAAATGTTCTCTGAGTGCTATGATGCTGTTAATTCCTCATACTTACCTAACAGAAGAGAACTCTAGGAATATGCAAGCGTAATGTTCTATTTGTATTTCACAGAGCCAGTGTATGATGAGACTGTTCTCAAGGTAATATGGGCTACAAAGTGACTCAGATTTGACAGGGAGCCACATAACATTAATTTCCTAGAGATCACACAAGAGGTTGTAAAACCAAGTTGAGTTCAATTTTGTTTTTAAATTCTACACCCCATCATCTGTTGAATTCAGTTAGTTTTTATTTAACAGCTTACCCAGATTAAATTTAGATATATGTACTTCTGAAATTTGAGAAAAAAAACCCTATAAATTACATACTATTGCTCCTGATTTCAGTGGGACTATATGTACTTCTGAAATTTGAGAAAAAAACCCCTATAAAGTACATAATATTGCTCCTGATTTCAGTGGGACTGCTCATGGTCTTTATTAAGCTGTGAGTAAGTTTGGCAGAATCTGGTCCAAAAATGAATAAAATAAATGTTTTTAAAGCCAGTATGTTGGTAATTTCTAAAATTTGTACAACAGAAGACAATTCTAGTAATATGAGTTTAATAGTTGTATTTCCCAGAAACACAATATATTGAAACAATTTCCAAGATAATATAGACTAGAAAATGAGCCACATATATTTGAAAAACAACAAGGCACATTGACTATTTCCTAGAGAACACAGAAAGAAAATACATGCAGACAAGTTGAATTAGATTTGGGTTTTAATTTTTAAATCTAATTTCCACAAAAGGTCCCAGTAGAAAATCCCAGATCTGAACACTCTAGAGTCTTTAGAAATCAATTGCAGTGACATTCATCTCATATATCTAATTTTCTCAGAACATTTTCCCCAACATTCATGATAATGGAACTTCAAAGCCATTAATTATGGGGTAAGGATAGAAATTTCAAAAACTGATATCAGCAAAACCCTTAGATTTCATGGAGTTATTGGAAATGTTTTAAAATATAATAATTAACCAAGATATTCAGAAGTAGATTCATTTCATGTATTTTTACACTAAAAATATACTAGCGGTATGGTCTAGTGGTTATGTACTGACATGTATTGGATTAAAATATATATATATGGCTCACTATAGCCAATGGAAGTAAAGGATGGACTACACACTTGGGCTTACATCAGGATTTGCAGATGTATGGGACATCTAGAATCCAGATACACAGTATATGTTTTCAGGTCAACTACTCTACAGGCCAGTAACTTTTAAACATATCAGAGTACCCTTTTTATGTATAAAGTTCTCAAACCAAAGTTCTATCAATCAATCTTAGGTACTTCTATATTCCCCTTCATGGTAATATCTGATCAACTCAAAATCTTAAATGTATTTATTGTTTCAACACCCCTGAGAGGAAGGCAAGTGCTGTTATCCCAGATGGGGAACTAAAGCCCAGAGTGACACAAGCTGTTGATGGTGACACAGTGACTCACATTCCAAGTTAGTGCTCAACCCTCTGGACCAGTCTTCCTCTATTCACATTCATTGTAGTATAGGAATTACATGAGTTGTTCCATCAAATCTCACTGCAGAATACTGTGAAAACTCTTTTGGACTATCTAGACTAGAGACAGTCCTGAGCTGCAAAGTCTGGTTCTAGACTGAGAGGAGGGAGCCGGTGGGTCACATATGGGGGAGAAGTTCAGTCCATTATTAGAAATGACAGCAGGCTGGGGAGTTGGGACCTAAATTTCAACTTTTCCTAACTTTCCATGTTATTTGGATATTTTAACCTTAGGCCCAGCTCTAGCCTGAATTTACCAGAACTCAGAGGGTAGACTTATTAAAGCAAGTTTTTCATACTTTCCCTCTGAAGCACAAATTGCCATATAAAAGATATTGAGTGCAAAAGCTAGCAACTGAATAATTAGGTACATGGCTTGAGATAGCGTCTGCTGCCAGCATCTCACATCAGCTGGTATGGAACCTGCTTCCTCAATTTATTTTTCAAGAGGAACCCAAGAAGAGTTAAAACAACAGCTGCAAGTACCACAACTGTAACAATAAACGGAGTCTGGGAATGACCAGCAGTTGCAAGAAGTGACCTATAGGAATCTGCCTCTTCCTGATGTTCAGAATAGTCCAGCTCTGTGAATCAAAAGAAAGATGGTTTGTTATATTTTGTTTTCTGTTCTAGCTATTGCCAAAGATATCAGAACAAGAGAACTTGAATTAAAAATGTTACATGCTAGATCAGGTCAGGAAATAAATCAATTTCACTCTATTTCATAGAACACGTGTTAGATATATCAATGTCTTTATATTAGTAAAGACTATTTCATGAACTGAACCCCAGCAAGGATGTTTTAGATTCAATATTATGAAAAGAGCATAAGTTGCACAAGAGCTATGGAATGGAACTTTTCTCAAGGATGTCTGAGGCTTCACTTTACTGGAGGTATTCAAGACTAGACATACCTATCACAATGCTTGAACAGTTTGGGTATAATTAAATCAATGAAGCTGTATTAAGGAGCTGGATTGTATCTCATCTTTCTTCCTAAAGTGATTCAATTAGCATTTTTGAGCTGTTCAGACTAAGATGGTGGAAACGTGCTAAATGAGGAACTAATATAGATGCTAATAGTCATTTAACAGATCCTTAACTTTTATAATGGAGCTGTTGATAAAGCTGTTGCTAAATAGAAATTGGAAGTAAACAGACATGCACAGATTTTGTGAAATGAAAAGTGATTTACAGACGCTTATACTAACACAAGAGCAGGTTATATCCATTTACCAGCATTCCTATTCTCAGTGGCATCTTTCCGAAGCTGAATTGGCCCAATAACAACAACATCCATTTTTTCTTGGTAAGAGTTTGTCTCTCGCTTAGACCTTGGTACACAGCCCTGGTAGCATCGGGAAGAATAATCATATGCTCTACACACCACCATTTTGCACTGTAGGTAAACTGATGGATGTTGGTTCATAAACTTGAAGGCACTGAATTTGAACCGTATAATGGAGCTGTAGGGTGAATAGTATGTACCATAGGTAGCATCTCTAACACACCTAAAATAAACAAATAAGCAAAATTAATCTTCATGCCTACACACAAAAATAAATTGGAGCATCAAGCATGCCCTACATGCAAAGATTTAAAAAAATTAACAATGTATAACCAATGGAAAGGGAGAAAAATATGTATTTGAAGGAAGAATGGAAAACGAAAAGAGGTTAAAATAGTGGCAGTGAGTTTTCTGAAAGCAAAAAATACAAAATTGTTTCCCCTGGTGTTTATATGTATGCCTAAGAGTGGGAGTAGTTTTACTGAACTCACATGCTTAAAGTTAAGCTTGTACATAAGCCTTTGTATGATCAATGCTCAGGTCAGCCAAGTTCTACAGGAGTCCCCTTTAGTCGTCCTGGCAACTAATCTATGGAAAAAGCCAAGAGAGGCTTACCTATATCTTCAGGCTGCAGTGTTTATGACCCCTGATGCAAAGGGTGTTAATTGTTACTATGAAGGGAGACATATAACCACAATTTAAGCTCACGAGATTGGACAGAAAACAACAATTCCATTTCACACATAAATTTGAAATTTCTTTTTGTTCCAATGCAGATGAAAAATGTGTTCTCTCTCATTTTTTCATGAAAAAGACCCACTCACGAGAGAGAGCCAACCCAGAACAGCCAGGGCTGTTACACAGGACATGGTAGACCCAAGATCAAGTGCCTTCTCTGCATTATTCAGAGCAAGGACTTGACCTTCCGTCTCCCGCAACCCAGTCAACCAATCTAACCACTTGGCCTGCGTTTCTCACATTGTCTTAGCTGAGAAACTCTACCCAATGACAGTTCTATCAAAACTGATACACATCCATGAAACTTTTCAGCTTTAATGAACAGGTGTTTTTTTGTTTTTGTTTTTTTTTGAGGGGGGGGGGCGGGGGAAGACAGGAAAACAAGTCAGACATTTATTGACAATTGGACCTGCTCCAACAAGATTTGCACTGTCATGTCCAGGAAGATGTAGAATCTAGTGAGAGAAGTCTACTGAAATTCTGGCAAGTAAAGCATAGGATATGCTATAATGGATGAGATTAGTGACTTTTTTCCTTACCAGATCTAAGAATCTAATCTATATTCATTTGTCTCATTTTCCATTAGAAATGGTTTAAACCAAGCCACAAGAACAAGCCTGGGCCAACTGTGTGACATTAAAATACTTCGGTGTCACTTGCAAATCATACAGGATAGCAAGAATATCAAACATTAAGCTTCTGTCATTTGAATCAAGCATTGAGCTACAGTAATTTGTAACAACATTCGCAGTATGCTACACTAAACTAGAACAGAACGAGAATGAATAATTAAAAAAATAAAGAATCAGAATATTTTGAAAATACACAATTGAATTCTATAAGCTAACTAGTTGAGGCTGAATTCATTCTTGATATAGGCTAGTGAAAATTCAATGATGTCAGTGAAGTTTGCGATAAAACTTGTTTACATCACAACTGAATTCACTTCTCTAGTTATCACATAACATGTTTAAGAGCAATCACTCTTGCATGATTGCACGGGCCTTAACATTGTTTCTGTTGAAATTTCTCATTTATTGACAGGATCGGTTAAAACAGGTTTTAAACAGTTTATTGGCATAGGGAATTGAAATCAGTGTGCATTGTCCCTATTCAGATGATTCCATAAACAAAACAAATACAGAACGGCATGCACAGTTTCATTGTAAACCATTGTTGAGAAAGTCCTTACCCGCTTCTGATAATGTCATGGGTTACTGTTGTAAAATCATTGTGATCAGGCGATGCAACACACGTGTCCAAAAACAACACCAGATTTGCATCAGAGCTGTTAATTGAAGCTTGAAGGAATAAATTCTGGTTCAGGTTAACGTAGTATGGAGAATCATACACTGGCCGTGAGAAGGATGGAGATTCATAAAATGATATGTTCAAGTCGTATCTGCTGTACTGCGTTTCATTGATCTCAATAGCTCTTTCGTCCCCAGCAACATACATTATTTCTTTCCATGTGTTTTCGAGCATTTTGCAGTTGATGTGCAAGTGAAGATCTTTTTCCCTGTTGATTATGTAGCCAGAAGTGGTTGCTCTGATCAAGTTGGAATACATGATAGTATTGCTGTTTCCCTGTTTGACACATTAAATGCTGAATTAGTTAATGTGCTCATATTTTTGCCCAAAGTCACAATTACCATTACATTTTGATACACCCCAGAATAACATGCCCTATAAAAGCATTGCTTCCACTGGCAGTTTTTTTAAAAGAAATGTGACTTTGGTCCTTTCTATTTATGACACATTTTAAACAAAATTGTTGACGGATATGATGATCACACAGAGATGTGAAAAATATTTTCATGGAATTCAAATACAGCCAAGTTAGTTAACATTAGTACAAAGGCTAAACATGAAATGCACAAAGATCCAATACCAGATTCAAAGATCCAATATCAGGCCTCTCTCCTGTGACCCTTCTAAGGAATACCAAAAAAACATGAAAAAGCTGCTCATTAAACTCCCTGATGCTACTCAGGACCAAATATACAATAACACCCCTCCTAATCCCCGACCAGGAATCTTCTATCTACTACCCAAAATACACAAACCTGGTAATCCCAGACGACCCATCATCTCCAGTATTGGCACATTCACTGGACGACCCATCATCTCCAGTATTGGCACATTCATTGCAGGATTATCTGGCTATCTCAACTCCCTCCTCAAACCCTATGCCACCAACACTTCCAGCTACCTCCACGATACCACTGACTTCCTGAGGAAACTCCAAAACATCAATAATCTCCCTGAAAATACCATTCTGGCTACCATGGATGTAGAAGCCCACTATACCAACATTTCACACAAAGACGGATTACAAGCCATCAGGAACACCATCCCCGATAACAATACTGCACACCTGATTACAGAGCTCTGCGATTTTGTCCTCATCCACAACTACCTCCAATTCAGAAACAATTTCTCTCTCCAAATCAGCGGCACAGCCATGGGCACACGCATGGCACCACAATATGCCAACATTTTTATGGCTGACCTTGAACAACATTTCCTCAGCTCTCGCCCCCTAACATGCCTTCTTTACTTACGTTACATCAATGACACCTTCATCATACGGACACATGGTAAAGAGACTCTTGAAGAATTCTACCAGGATTTCAACAACTTCTACCCCACTATCAACCTCAGCCTGGACCAGTCCACAAGGGAAATCCACTTCCTGGACACTACAGTAAAGTTAAATAATGGACAACTTTCAACTACCCTATATCGTAAACCCATAGACTGCTACACTTACCTTCATGCTTCCAGCTCCCATCCCAGACACATTTTTTCAGTTGATTGTATACAGTCAAGCCCTACAATACAACTGGATTTGCTCTGACCCCACAGACAGAGACAATCACCTACAGGATCTTTACAGAGCATTCATAAATCTGAGATACCCACCTGGGGAAGTGAAAAAAAATTGACAGAGCCAAAAAAGTTCCCTGACATAAACTACTTCAAGACAGACCCAAAAGAGAAAATAACAGAACTCCTCTTGTTGTTACTTACAGTCCACAACTCAGACCCCTCCCACGCATCATACACAATCTACAACCCATCCTAAAAAATGATCCTTCACTCTCAGAGGCCTTGTGAAAAAAACCTATTCTTGCGTATAGACCACCTCCTAATCTGAAATGTATTCTTTCTGATAACCATGCCACACAACCACATCATAAGCCTCCAGGCACCCGGCCCTGCAACCAGAAAAGATGCCAACTCTGCCCACATATCTACACTGACAAATTAATCACTGGCGCAAACAACACTAGCTACAAAATCAAAGGGTCATTTGACTGCTCCTCTAGTAATTTGATCTATGCCATCAAATGCCAACAGTGCCCCTCTACTATATATATTGGCCAAACTGGACGTTCTCTATGGGAAAGAATCAACAGACACAAATCGGATATATGTAAAGAAAATACTCAAAAGCCAGTGGCAGAACATTTCTGTTTACCTAACCATAATCTCATAGATCTAAAGGTGGCGGGCTTGTCACAGGCCAGTTCTTCAAGCAAAATCCACAGGAAAAGCTTGGAATTACAATACAAATGTAAATTCAATTCAATTAATTATGGACTTAATCAAGATATGGGGTGGTGGAACCTTTATTAATGAAGGTGCTAACTACTTTCTGAATGAAACAAAAGACAGGACTATGCAGCACTTTAAAGACTAACAAGATGGTTTATTAGGTGATGAATTTTCGTGGGCCAGACCCACTTCCTCAGATCAAACTGTGGAAAAAAATGGCATGACCATATATACCACTCTCTACACCAATACTCTACATGAAGATGGATTATGAGCAATTAGAAACACTATCCCAGAGGATACCACAGCCAATCTGGTAGCAGACCTATGTAACTTTGTTCTTACCCACAATTATTTCCAATTTGGGGATAACTTATACCTTCCGATCAGCAGCACAGCCTTGGGTATCCGCATGGCCCCACAGTGTACTTACAAAGTTTCCTCAGATCCCATTCCCTTTTAGCCCTTCTTTACTTACGCTACATCGATGACATCTTTATGATCTGGACCCATAGCCAAGAAACACTGGACGCATTCCACAGAGACTTTAACAACCTACACCCCACCATCAATCTCCGCCTGGACCATTCAACACGAGAGATCTGTTTCCTGGACACCACAGTACAAATCACTATTGGAAAATTAAATACCACTCTCTACAGAAAACCCACTGACTGCTACACTTACCTATATGCCTCCAGCTTCCATCCAGGACACACCATATGATCCATCATCTATAGTCAAGCCCTTAGGTACAACCACATCTGCCCTAATCCCACTGACAGACTGGAAACGTCAAGCTCTCTACTAAGCATTTGTAAATCTCAATTACCCACCGGGGGAAATAAAAAAACAAATTGAAAGAGCCAGACGAATACCCAGAAACCATCTACTTCAAGACAGGCCCAAGAAAACCAACAATAGAACACCACTTGTCATCACCTATAGCCCCCAACTTAAACCTCTCCAACGCATTATCAATAACCTACAATCTGTCCTGGAACAGGATTCTGAGAGGCTCTGGGGGACAGACCCATAGTCTCCTATAGACAACCGCCTAACCTCAGGAGGAGTCTTACCAATAACCACAGGACATACCACTTAAATACCATCCCTGGAACTTTCCCTTGCAACAAACCCCGTTGCCAACTTTGCCCACGTATTTACTCGGGTGACTCCATAACTGGACCTAACAATGTCAGTTATATGATCAAGAACATATATTCCTGTTCATCCAGAAATATAATTTATGCCATCATGTGCCAATAGTGTCCTTAGGCTCTGTGTATTGGACAGACTTCTCAGACACTTTGCCAAAGAATTAATGCCTTCCGCCCGCCCCCCTGCCGCCGCCCATGGCCTCCGCGGTCCTAGAGCCTGCCCTGTAGGGCACGTCCGCAGCCCCGCTTCCCCGCTCGGCTGCGGGTTCGCCCTGCCCCCGGGCCGCCGTGAGGCCGGCATGCCCTGCGCTCTCCGCCCGCCTCCGACCCTGCGGACCCTCCGCCTTGGGGCTGAGGGTGTGGGGACGGCCCTCACGCATGTTCACTTCTTCAAATCTGGCCCTCTTTGAAAAAAGTTTGGACACCCCTGCTTTATGCATAGAGGTAGAGGGATGGGTGACAGAACATCTCCCCCCCCTTCCCTTCTCCTATTTATTTTGAGTTTCCTTATCCTCTAATCAAAACTCCGGTTGTCTGAAGAAGAGGGCTGTGCCCATGAAAGTTCATGATACCATCTACATGTTTTGTTAGTCTATAAAGTGCTACCAGACCATTTGCTTACAAAGATCCTGATTCAGCAAGGTAATTGAGCATGAGTCTAACTTAATGCACATGAGTAGTGCTATTGAAGTGAATGCTTTAAATTAGACCTGTGTAAGTACCTTACTGAACTGGGACCTAAGTAAGTGCAAAATGTTGTGACTATTCAAGAATATCAGCTCATGCTCAAAGGAAGTCTGTGAACATTGGTGGAGATTGTTCATGTATCTACTCTGGCCCACAATCTTCCCCATAAGATCAATCTGCAATAAATGCAGTGTTCCCTGCAGAAAGCAGAATAGATGGGAGTGATCAGTGCATCTGAACCTGTACTGTTGGTTCACTTGCAGCTCCTGGGAATCACAGGGCAAGTTTCTGTTCACGACCCTTTTCTAAATGAATTGTGCAGTTTGCACATACCCCTATTCACACGGCTTGCTAAATCAACTTCATACCTGTCGCCTTGTGCCACAGCCATTGTATGGTATTTTGAAGATAATATAGCTTGTGGTAATGTTTGGTTTACAAGAAGGGTCATTCAAGCTGACAGTCTCTGAAATGTAGCCTTGCGAGTGGAGATAAGCTCTGTTAACAACTGCGTGCATGTATTCTGGCAGACACCGAAGAGCTGGTGGGTGGAAGAAACACATATTAGCACAGTCAAGCACACAATAATAATTAACTGTTCAACCAGTCAGGCTGCCAACAGCAATTCGGGGCTCCAGGACATACTAGTCAATGGGCCCCCTGTACACAGTGCTGCACCTGCACCGGCTGGTGCCCAGAAAGCTGTCTGCTACCCTGCTGGGCATGCTCTTCTGGCACTGCCACGGCTTCCACAGGCCTATCTGTTAGAGGTGCCAACTGTCTAGCAATGCAAACGTAAAGATCTTTGCCCAACTTCATTCTCTGCTCCTTCCTTGAGGATGTAACCCCATCCCACTCTTCCCTCCCTGGCTCTTCCCCACCCTCACTCACTGTCCCCAGGCTGGGACCGGGAGTTAGTGTATGGAAAGGAAGGTGGGGTGCAGGTTCTGGGAAGGAGTTTGGTTACAGGAAGAGTGCGGAATCTGGGCTGGGGCAGAGGGTTGGATGCAAGAGAGGGCAGGGAGCATAGTTTACCTCAGGCAGCTCCCAAAAATGACCAGCAGGAGCAGCTTTTAGGTGGGTCTCGCACATCACTGCCCATAGGCACTGCTCCCTGCATCTCCTATTGACCCCAGTTCCCAGCCAATGGCACAGAAGTAAAACTGGCACAGAAGTTAAACTGACTGGTCTGTAGTTTCCTGAGTTGTTCTTAGTTCCCTTTTTATAGATGCGCACTACATTTGCCCCTTTCCAGTCTTCTAGAATCTCTCCTGTCTTCTGATTTTTCAAAGTTGATAGTTAAAGGCTCAGATACCTCCTCTATCAGATCCTTGAGTATTCTAGGATGCATTTCATCAGGCCCTAGTGACTTGAAGACATCTAACTTTTCTAAGTGATTTTTAACTTGTTCTTTTTTTATTTTATCTTCTAAACCTACCCTATTCCCACTAGTATTCACTGTTAGGTATTCCTTCATCATCAGATGTCTTGGTGAAAGCTGAAACAAAGACGTTATTAAGCACCTCTGCCATTTCCAAGTTTCCTGTTACTGCTTCTCCCTCCTCACTAAGCAGTGGGCCTACCCTGTTCTTGGTCTTCCTCTTGCTTCTAATATATTTATAGAATTTCTTCTTCTTTCCCTTTATGTATGTAGCTAATTTCAGCTCGTTTTGTGCCTTTGCTTTCTAATCTTCCCCTGCATGCCTGTATTGTTTGCTTATATTCATCCATTGTAATTTGTCCTAGTTTCCATTTTGATATTACTCCTTTTTGATTTTTAGATCATGTAAGATCTCCTGTTTAAGCCAAGGCGGACTTTTGCCATACTTTCTATCTTCCCTACGCAGCAGAATAGTTTGCTTTTGGGCCCTTAATAATGTCCTTTTGAAAAACTGCCAACTCTTTGCAGTTGTTTCTCCCTTTACTCTTGCTTCCCATGGGACCTTACCTACCAGCTCTCTGAGCTTACCAAAATCTGTCTTTCTGAAATCCATTGTCTTTATTTTCCTATTCTCCCTTCTACCATTCCTTATTCATGAACTCTATGATTTCATGATCACTTTCACCCAAGCTGCCTTCGACGTTCAAATTCTCAACCATTTCCTCCCTATTCATTAAAATCAAATCTCGAACAGCTTCCCCCAGTAGCTTTTTCAACCTTCTGGAATAAAACGTTGTCTTCAATGCAGTCCAAGAACTTATTGGATAGTCTATGCCCTGCTGTGTTATTTTCTCAATATATGTCTGGATAGTTGAAGTCCGCCATCACCACTAAATCCTGCTCTTTAGATGATTTTGTTAGTTATTTTAAAAAAGCCTCATCCACCTCTTCCACCTAGGTAGGTGACCTGTAATAGACCCCTAACATGACATCACCCTTGTTTTTTACCCCTTTTAATCTAACCCAGCGACTCTCAACACATCTGTCTCCTACGTCCATCTCCACCACAGTCCAAGTACAGGCAGTCCCTGGGTTACATGGATCCGACTTACATTGGATCCCTACTTACAAACGGGGTGAGGCAACCCCGCATTAGCTGCTTCCCCCCAGCAGACCAGGGAGACGCGGAGCGGCTTTTCTCAGCGGACACCTCAGCTTGAGAATAAAGGACTGAGGGAAGTGAGGTGTGGGAGAATAAAACTGAGCTCTGGAGAAATGTTTGGCTAGAGTTTCCCCTACAATATGTACCAGTTCCGACTTACATACAAATTCAACTTAAGAACAAACCTATAGTCTCTATCTTGTACGTAACCCGGGGACTGCCTGTATACACATTTTTATTATATAAGGCAAAACCTCCTCCCTTTTTTCCCTTCCTATCCTTCCTGAGTAAGCTGTAGCCTGCTATACCAATAATATGTATTGTACCACCAAGTCTCTGTGATACCAACAATGTCATAGTTGTGTTTATTTATTAGCACTTCTAGTTCTTCCTGCTTACTTCTTGCATTTGTATATAGGCATCTAAGATACTGATTTGATCAAACAGTAAAACAGAAATCAGTGTGTTTGGTTGATGGCAATTTTGCTACCATGAATTTTACTGATCAGCTAGTGGAATTAACCAGTTGCAAGCTATTTAGTATAAATAAGGGATGCAGAATCAGAGGATTGCATATGTGAGCTTACATAAGCCTTATGGCAGAGGAGAACCTAAGGCCCAGGGGCCAAATGTGGCTGCTCCTCACTCCCAGCACTGGGGAGCCCACGCTGCTCTCCACATGACAGATTTTTCTGTGGGTCAGCGACCCCGGACCCAAAAAAGGTTCCCCACCCCTGTCTGATGGGGTTTGGAATCACATATATCACATATGCAGAGGTGGACTCACATAAAGGAGTCTGGATCCTGTATAGTAACTTCCTGGATCCTGTAAAGTCACATTGAAATGAACAGGAGATTTGTCTGAATGAGGGCTTAAGGATCAGGCTTTGAATGAGTGTGAAAGGTGTTCAAGTTCACTTGAAGACATGGACAAATTGCAGGGGGTTCTGGGAAGAACATCAGAAACTGGGAAATGAAGCAGAGGGAATAAATTTAAATGTAAATGATTCTGATACTAAACTTGTATCAGTACAGTGCTAAACAGGCACCGAGCTCAGATAAACAACTACTAATGAATTGGGGAGAGGACATGAAATTGACTCCTATTGTATGAAAAAGGGTGATTTCAATGACAGTTTTGCCTACATCAGAGCTAGGATCACACCCAAAGAGAATGAGTTGTACAAGTAAGAATAATGAGATGACGAAAACATTAAATTTAGGTTGAGAATCAGAGAAAATGTCACAAATAATCTGATGATAAAGTTTTAAATTTAAATGAAATCAAACTATTGTCTGAAAGTAAAAGGCCAGTAATGACGCACTATGAAAGATGACAATGAGTTGTACTATACTTACGTGGTAAAACACCAGGCCCGCCAACAGGAGGAGGGGAGGCAAAGAGGGTTGTGGCCTTAGGGCCCAGCAATTCAAAGGGTTCCCAACCTCTGCCACTACTACTGTGGCAGTGGCGGTGGCAGGATCCCTGGTCCCTTTCATTGCTGTAGCACACACCATGTGCTCCGGATAGCTCTATGGGGTGGGGGCTGGTTTCAGATGGTGCACTCTGGGTGGTTCAGAGCTCTGGCTACCCCTGCCCCGTCCCTTCCACTGGAGGTCCCACCCCTTTCAAGAGCACAGAGCCAGGCTGCCACACTTTGCCAGGGGTCTGTGGAGGCTGTCGGCACCCCTGTTGAACATTAATCAATGGTTATTTAGTAAATAAAAATCAATAGACTTGTCTACTGAAAAGCATGAACTTACTAGTATTCTGATCTGCTGGAATGGTGTAATAGTCAGCACGAAACCCTCTCTTCGTGACACTTGAGTCACTGTGAAATCTAACTGTCATCAAGTTTGAGGATGATGTATAAGTAGGAGTCGAATTGTAACAAATCTTCCCCAGTAAAGGAGAAGTGTAGAGTGCTCCATCATATATCTCAATATAATCATATCGGCATCCACTACCTTCTGTCCTAGGAAAGGAAAATAAACATTTTGTAAACTCCTATTTAGGTATTCATCACAGAGCAACACAGAAATCTCACATTAAACCCTTCAGACTGCAAGGTGTCTGTTGCAAAAATTGTCTTCATTATGCATCTTGTGTGGTACCAACCTCTTTGTGAGGACTCAACAAGTAACAACAAATACTACTCCATTCATGCAATTTTCATTTTAGGTTTACTGGTGACTTTGAACTGTTAAACCTTGTTGAGAAATATTCTTCAAATACAGAGAAAAAAATCCATGACTCTAAACACATGAATTGCCCAGGAAAATAGCGATTTACTTACGAGATATCTCTAAAGGAAAGTATTATATGGTAATTGTTCTCTGCTTCTATTTCCCACACACAATCTGCATTGTTTGGATAATTTCCAGGATAGAACGGGCTATGAAAAGTCCCAGATGAATATTGAAGGACACCACCACAAGTATATCTTGCTGCAGAATAAAATGTCAGAAACGTAAACACATACAAGTCATTTATATATGTGTAGATGATTTATCAGTCAGACCCAAAACCTACTTAAGTTAAAGGAATATCTGCTATAAAACCAATGGTCTTTATAAAAGTTGCTCTCTGGGGTCAGCATCTGATCCCAAGATCTGTGGATCCCACTCACACTTTCATTTAATGCTCATCACCCCTTAAGATTAGGACCTAAATGGATATAGCTGAAGACAGAAAATATTGGCCACAGAAAATGTTCAGGAAAGAAATTGTTTGCCCTTTTTCCTCCAATGTTCTTAATTCAGGTTGGAAGTAAATTTTTGAGGAAGCACTTGGTACACAGGGGTGAAAAATAACAGCCTGAATGAAAATAGCATCTGCAGCCAACTTTGTAAAGTCACAATTTTTACTTAATGCAGAGCTTTAAGTGACATAAGGCTTAATGCTCCTCCTCAATTTTGTGTTTGTGAAACACATTCAAAAAGGAGAACTAGAAAGGTTATTTTTGTTCTGAGGCAGAATGAAAACAAATTTTAAAGTCTCAGAATTATTTTCCAAAATGGAATTCTTGTTTTCCAGCCACAGCCTATTGAAAGAAAGGTAAATATTGTATAGGCACCAAAAATGAAGGAAACATGGTGTTATGGAAATAGCATGGTAACAGCGAGTCAAAGTATCTGGTTTCTATTCCCCAATCTGCATTCATGTAATTTATCAACATAATCCCACCACATTCCAACAGCTATAAAGTGAGTCTGAGAACTACTATCCATATTCTCCTCTCTTCCCCAAAACCACAGGGTAAGCATGGAGTTGTGACAGGGTATTGGAAGACGTCAGAACACAAGGGTGTCATTCAACAACTATACCAAGAAAGCTTTATTGCCTGAACCAGTTTCAAAATTTGGTCCTTTAAATTTCTTTTCAATTTCTCCTTGCTCTCATTTCAGTTCACGTGGCAACTGCACAATGAAATCATAAGCTACACTTTCAAAACTTCTCTAAGCACAGAATCCTATAATGTAGAAACATTACATGAAGCCAGAATGAGTTAACGCTCAATAGTGATTGTGTACCAGGGCCATGATGTAGTGTATCCTGGTCTTCCTACATGAAGGTAACAAAAACTAAACTAGAGCCCTATGGTGAAATTACACATTGTGTTTGTCAAATCCCTACTCCATGGAGCTCATCAGTTAAGCAAGCGAAATTTTTTGCAAGGCACCCTGAATAGATGACATTGGCATCTTCTGAATGACAAGTTATGAGAGAGCCATCGTCAATGAGGAAGGTCCCATAGACTGTCTCTTGGGGAATGCCCTATTTATATGTGTGACAGAAAGGCTAATAGATAGTCTCAGTCTAAAATGAGGTTCTTGCACTCTTGTAGCAAGGGAGTGATGGAACAGAAGAGGGAGAGTTGAATAGATTGAAGAAAACTGAGTTTATTCCCCAAACTTCAGTGTTCTGAAGGTACAATAGGCAAGAATATGGGTGTGGAATGGACCTATACAGTTCAACAAATGTACCGGGAAACATGTATTGCCTATATCACATTTGAAATTTACCTTGTGTATTGCTATTCAACCTGCCCTGACTCTCATCTCAGTTCCTGTGCCATTGTACTATAAATCCATAGGCAAGAATTCAGAGCACCAGGGGCAGATATACGGCAGGGTGAACGGGGCGGCCGCCCCAGGCCCCGCGCTTCAGAAAGCCCCGCGCATGCGCCGTGGCGCCTCCGCGCATGCGCCTGGCGTCACTGCACATGCGCCATGGCAAAGGGAGGGCCCCGCGGAATTATGCTGCCCGGGGCCCCGCAAAATGGTCATCTGCCCCTGCAGAGCACAGAACTCGATCAGCAAGAAATATTTTAGTGAAAGCAGAATGAGTTAGCATTTACCAGTTGTTGTGTACCAAGGCCATGATGTAGTGGATCCTGGTGTTTCTGCAGGAAGAGAACAGAAGCATAACTAGAGACCTCTGGTGACTTTTCACTGGAATGACGAAACACACATCCTGGCTGCCAAATTCCACATCCCCATACCAAATCATGGCGACACCAGAGCTCTTCAGTGAAAGAGTTGGAAGATTTATTTAATGTGGGCAAAACAACATGTTCCCCTATTCTTATTTGGGAAACAGCTAAAATGTTTCAGCTCAAAACTTGGCAAAATACACCAGTCTCAGACATAAATGGAGTTGAGTCTTAATGGTTTAAGTTTGGCAAAGTAATAAGCAACTAACATTTAGGTCTTATCATAGAAAGTGTTAGGTGACCTCAACTGGAAATGGCACTGCCAGGTCTGTCTATAATATATATAGGTGGTGATCCTGTACACATGCATTTCAGAATATTCAAATGTAATGTCATGATGGATAACATGCAAGTGATGAGTTACCTGTGGATGGCGATGTTGTGTATCCAGCATCTGCAAAGGGAAAACATGAGAAATTATAGTTTGTTATTAGTGTCTCATAACTGGGCAAAATATTTAGGCCAAAATGTTTTGCAGCAAAATTACAGATTCAGCAACACCAAAACATTACACAATTTGTGACAGTTTCAATGTACTGATCAATTAAACTACCATTTCAAACACCTTTCTAGGAACATTTCTTTTTGAAAATTATTTTTTGGCATTTTAAGTGAGAAATAAATTTGTTTCTAAGTTCTATTTTAAAATCCCCCACGCCTGCAAAAGTCGCTGAATTCAAGCCAAAATATTATGATTGTGTTCAAGCATTTTTTCAGTGATCTGAAACATACTTTTTTCGATTGTTTTGGTTTACTGAAAATTTTAAATATTTGGTTTTGATCCAAATCAAAATGAATTGTTTTAAATTGCTAATGAATGAAAAAATGGATATTAGCTTGAAAGTATGTATAATATTTTAAATGCAAATGACATTAGAAGCAGCAACACTTTCCTGGAGGATGTTATATTTCAAAACAAGTAGAGTAAAACTTTGAAGACACAACTTTCTCATGTCTCCTTGAGGGTAATCATGAAATAGAGTAAAATGGGCTTTATTCCCACTGAAGTAAATGAAAAAAAAATCAGAAAAATGTACCTTTCCTGATGGCACAAGACTGAGGCTGAAACTTAATTAGGTCTTTCATCTTTGGATCTCTACGGCTTGTATGAAGTTGAGTAAGATTCATTATCCATAATTTACTTGCCAGATAACTGCAGCATAATGAAACTAAGTGGGATGGCAAAACCATGAACAGGTTTCCCATAACCATGTCCTATCTCGCTGGCAGGATTCGACTTTCAAAGGAAGTGAGGTTGCCAGAATGGAAGATTAATATCATCGTTATTTGGCCATCTTCCCTTTTTTGTCATTCTACATCTATATTCTATTCTAGCACAATCACACTCACCAGGAAAATAACTGGTTGGCTAATTGAAGCATGGAACTAATGTTTGAGGAGGTAGGAAAGTGATCTCTTTAATATAGGATTTGGTTCCAGAATGAAGCATGGAACTAATGTTTGAGGAGGTAGGAAAGTGATCTCTTTAATATAGTATACTGAATTTCATATATTGTAACCTCAGCAATGTGACTTTCAAAAACATCCGAGGCATGGTGAAAAGTGTATTCTCTGCCAGTCATTGAATTGCAAAATACCAGCAAACTTTTGGTATTCACCTGAACAAATGACACCAGCATCTTCATGATGACCACAGTTATGATTGAGCCATCCTGCATGAGGACAGTCCCACAGACTGGATTCCCATCCTGTGCACCTCACATCATCAAGGACAATATTTCCTGAGCCTTGACCATAATAAGCATTGGTCTTTGCTGCAACACCATATCCACATCCAAGCTGGCTGCACACAACATTTGCGTCATTGAGATCCCAAGAATCATCACACACAGTCCCCCACGATCCCGCGTAATAGATTTCCACACGACCTTCACATCTGCTAGCTGAATTCACTAGTCTCAAGGCCAGTCCTAAAATAGATGCAAAGTAATTATTATTAGTTCATGAGTTGTAGTTTTGTTCCTTTTCATAACTCAGTGGCAACTAAGGTGAACCTGATCCATGTATGGAACTCCAATTGACTGCTAAGGGGATTCCATGGCCAGATCACACATCTGGATCAACTTGGAAAAAACACATTTGAAAAAGTAATTCCAAGCATACAAACAAAGAGATGGCATCTAAACTACCTGTTACTATTCAAGAGAGGGATCTTAGAGTCATCATGGATAGTTCCCTGAAAACATTTGCTAAATGTGCCGTGGCATTCAAAAAAGCTAACGGTATGTTAAGATCCATGAGGAAAGGGAAGGAAAATAACATAGACACTGAGGAAAGGGAAGGAAAATAACATAGAAACTAACATTAACATCCACATTGTAAATATTGCTTGCACTTGTGGTCATCCCATCTCTTAAAAGATGCATTAGAATTAGCAACAGTATAGAGAAGGGCAACAAATTAAGAGTTACAGAGCAGCTTCCGTATATGGGGAGATTAAAAAGATTGGGATGGCTTAACTCAGAGAAGAAACCACTAAGGGTTGATATAAAATAGACCTATCAAACCATGAATGATGTGAAGAAAGTGTGTACAGTGATGTTGTATACCCCCTCACATTACACAACAACTAGGGATCCCTTGATGAAATTGATGGGCAGCAAGTTTAAAATAAATAAAAAGACATCCCTCTTTATCCTATATAGAGTTAACCTGTAGAACTCATTGCCAGGGAATGTTGTTAAGATCAAAAGTTTAGGTGGGCTCAAAAGAGAATGAGAAGTTCATGGAGGAAAGGCCCATCAATGGCTCTTAGCCAAGATTGTCAAACACATAACCGCATACACTGGGTATTCCTAAATCACCAACTGCCAGGAACTGGTGAATGACAGGAGATGGACCACTCAGAATTGCCCCGTTCTGTTCATTCCCTCTGAAGCATCTGGCCACTGTTAAAAGACATGATTCTGGGCTAGATTTACCACTGGTCTGACCTAGTATGGGTGTGTTTGTGATCAGATCAACAGTAACAGTACTGAATCCTATAATAAAAGAAATGTTATTAAAACAAAGTGAGACAGTACTTACCATACATGGTGATGCTCACTGGAGGGTAAGAGGTACTTGCTGAAATAAGACAAATGGACAATTAGAAAAGACATTTATTATAACAACAATGGATCCTCCTATTGTGTTATCAAGGAGGTGAACATTAATGTGCAACAGAAATCACCAGTGATATGCAAGAGTAGAGGAATAGCAAATCATGTTCTAAATCCCAGCCTCCAAGGCTGTGTCTAGACTGGCCAGTTTTTCCCGAAAATCAGCCGCTTTTCCGGAAAAACTTGCCAGCTGTCTACACTGGTCACTTGAATTTCCGCAAAAGCACTGACTTCCTACTATAAGAAATCAGTGCTTCTTGCGGAAATACTATGCTTCTCCCGTTCAGGCAAAAGTCCTTTTGTGCAAAACTTTTGCACAAAAGGGCCAGTATAGACAGCTCAGATTTGTTTTGCGCAAAAAAGCCCCGATCACGAAAATGGCGATCGGGGCTTTATTGTGGAAAAGCGTCCGTGCCAATCTAGACGCACTTTTCCGAAAATGCTTTTAACGGAAAACGTTTCCGTTAAAAGCATTTCCGGAAAATCATGCCAGTCTAGACGTAGCCCATGTGCACACTGACAGCTTCTGAAAACCTCCTAAATACTGTAAAGCTAAAGCAACATAATAACAATATCTTTAGAACTTGTATAGTGTATTGCATACTCAATAACTACTCATGAATCCATTCCATAGTCCTGCAAAGTTGGTTAGCAAATGTTTCCTCCCTTTTATAGAGGGACCAATAAAGAAAAAAAAACAGTTATAAAGGAGGGAGAATAGAGAGGGAAAGTAAAAAGCATATAAGTTTGAACAGCAGAGAGGCAATAGCCCCAAATATATCAATTTAGATTAAGATTTTATGGCCTGCTCCAGCTGTAGGTGACTCCAAAAGGAGAATGCTGAGAGAGAGACTGCACCAAGAGTAGTGGACAGCACCTCACTTCTGAAAAGTCCAATAAGGTAGCTGTGTAAGAGAACAAGAGGCTCCCATTTCACACATATGGCAGCTGGACATAGGAAACAGTCCCACTGTGCCATGCAACTGCCCAGAAGCAGGTAAGCATCCAATTATCATCAGCACAGTGTGGGCAAGGAATCATCTTAGTACCCTGTCAGTCTGGGCATGTCTACAATAGGAAATTATTTTGAAATAACTCATTGCAAAATAATAACTCCCAAAATAACTATTTTGAAATAGTGTGTCCACACTACAGGGAAGCCTCAAAATTAGTCCGAGGCAGGCTCCCTTAATGTGGACGCTCAACTGAGAGCCCCAGGAAGCACTTGGAAGCAATTACTTTGAATGACTCTGGGGAGTAGTTATTTTGAAATTGCAGCAGTAGAGCATCCACACTACCGCTATTTTGAAATAACGGTTTCAAAATAAGCATTATTCCTCTTGGAAAACAGGAGTTGTTATTTTGACATAACCAGCCCCTTATTCAAAATAACGGGCTTTGTAGTGCGGACTTGTTATTTCAAAATAAGGGGAGTTATATGACATCTAAGAATTATAGGATGCTACTTGTCCCTCTTCAGTTTTTGTACTGCTGGCAATACAATTAATTCTGTTTTCCAGCTGCTGCTGCTTTGAATATGTATAACTATGCCGGGGGTTGCAAAAGTTTTATAGATCCAGGAAAGCAGCAGCTCATTCTGGTGGCCCTCTAAGATCTGCAGGAGTGGAGAAAAGTCTCCCAAATTCTTAGTAGTTCCAGCACACTATTTTGATGAACTAGGGCCAGGGTACCTTGAAGAAAGGAATTTTTTCCATAAAATATTAATCTTGAGTTACCTGTTTGTGTGGGTGGGCTCATTCCAGAACCTGTTAATGTAGAAACATGAGCTATTTAATGGATCTTTCCTTGAGGATAGCGTTTTTCAAAACAACAAAGCAGAAGTTTGCAAAAAATGTAATCATGTCAATATTAGAATATTAAAATTAGGCCACCACTGGATTTAAACCAACTCCCACTAAAGTCAAAAGGACATTGCATGGGACCCATATAGTACTAGCTGATCAGACTCCTCACTTAAACATGTCCTAAATCTACTGGTATGAATGGATATATTTACATGGAAGTCTTCACATTAAGATTTGAGGTCTTTAGTAATTCAAATGGAGTATGAGCCAACTGCAGGAGTGGATGGGGGAGATTCTGTGGGCTGTGATGTGCAGGAGGCCAGAGTAGATAATCAGGATGGTTGTTTCCAACAAAGTCTTTATCACTCACCAGCATCATCTACATCAACAGCTATGCATTGGTTATGTATTTAAGGTGTATGTTAGCGAGGAATGGGATGTTTATTGTCATGATAAAAACAAAGTTGCAAAGCAAAGAACTTTAAAAGCATAATCTTTAGTCTATTTAACAGTAATCACAATGCCAATTAGTTTAGCATAAAAGCTACAGAGTTAGCAGAAAAAAAGGGTATGTACCTGAACATATAACACTAGCATCTCCATGGAAACCACATGTCTGCGGCCAGCTTTCAAAAGAGCAATGCCACAACACATCTTCAGAGCCAAAACAATTCACGTTAGTCATCCAAGGCCTTCCCCAGCCTTCGCCAAAATAGTTATCTCCTGGAGTAGCAACAGGCTCACCACAGCCCAGTTGCCTGCACACAACCTGTGCATCGTTCATGTCCCACAGATCACCACAAACTTTTACCCGGCCTCCAAAGTAAAGGATTTCAATACGGCCTGCACAGTGGTTTGGCCCATTGACAAGTTCCAGAAACAGCTCTGTGAAAGACACAAAACAATTGTTTTTAGCGTATGTGTCCATTTTCACATGGGGATGTTTTATCATTTTTGGCTTATCAGTTAAAATTTGACCCGTTACTGGCAATGCAGCACCGATAATTGAGAAACTACACCCTCACCCCCTCCTTTAGCTCCTGGCTGGCCATAGCACTGTCATAGTGGATGTGACTGTCTCAGATAAAGATCAAGGATTGAGAGGTCACCCGAGAAGTCCCACCAAATGAGGAATGTTGGGACCTGTGCTGCCAATGCTGGGTGCTGGGCTTTTCCTTGGAATGAATGGGAGACTTTGGGCTCCAGTACTCGGAACCATCTTTCCCATGCTTGACATTCACTTTACATTTCCAGGGCTTCAATTTCACTTTCATTACAGTCATCATTAAATTCACAGGGCAGCAGCATTTTCCAAGCCAGAAAAGAGAAAGTCATTAGCCTAATACATACCACTGTAAATTAAAATCAGTACAAATGTAAAAATAATATATGTAAACAGACTCACCATCACCCACAGTGCCGACTGAAAAAAAGGAAACAATACACACTATATCAGTACGACATACTTAGGCTTTTAGAAAGCTTTTCTCTTTTCCTATATATCTGCAGTAACTCCTTCAGAAAGGATAAATGTTTCCATCATCCAATGTTGTCTGGCACTAAAAAGAGAACTAAAAAGAACATCACATGGGGTCCACACTGTGTGTGCCACAAAACACCACTCATGGTGCTGACTATGCCCTTGCAAAAGGGGGAAATTATGCCAAGGTGTGATAGCGACCTGTTCTTCTGTGACTTCATTATTTCCCATGAAGGCTGCAGCCTCCAAGACTGTGGTTGCAAATTAGAGCAGTTCTGAATTCAGAGTCCTGCAGATATTTGCTGTCCCATATGAAACCCTCCTTGGGGATCAGTCCCTGAGAAAACTCTCTGGTCGCTACCAGAGCTGATATAGTGATGGATATCATGGTACTTTCCTTAAGCATTCATCATCTTATTTTCAATCCACATGAAAATACTTATCAATACTCACTGAAGCATGCAAGGAATATTTCTGAGACAGTGACCAGATGTCTTATATCTGAGTCCAGGCTATGGGAGAGAGTTTGCTGCAGGAGATGATGTGGGAGGGAGTTTGGATGTGGGAGGGTGTGCGGGTTATGAAAAGGAGTTTTGAGTGTGGGGTGCAGGCTCTGGATGCAGGAGGGAGTCAGAGACCAGTGTTTACCTCATGCAGATCCTGAAAGCAACTGGCACACTCCTCTGGAAATGGCTCTTAGGTGGGTGAAGGGGGCAGGGGATCTCTGCAGACCATAGCCCGCAGTCACCACCCCCACAACTCTCATTGGCCGATGGGAGCTGCGGAGTAGGTGCATGGGGCAGGGGTAGCATGTGGAAATACCACAGCCCCAGGATGCTGCAGGGATGGTGCGCCCCATTTACAGGACAGAATGGAGTCAGCAGTCCTTGGCCTTTTTAAATCACCTTGACCCCTGGGAATTGCCCCATGTGCCTCCCCCCGCCCTTATTTGTGGGTCTGATTTCTATAACCCCAATGTTGATACACAGCTGCACATCATCATTCTTTCTAACCATTCTTCAATTCGTTTTCAATGCATGTGACAATAATTAGACCTAAACCAATATTAACTAAAGTGTGCAATTACTATTTCTGAGAGAGTGAACAGATATCTTTCTAGAGTCCACATATATTATATATACTGCCCTCTTCTACTCATTGTGTTAATCAAAAACAGTGATGAGTGTCTTCTTCCATGATGTATTCTTCACAAAATCATGTGGTTCGAAGTTATTACTATTATGGGTTGTGGTTTTTAGTCAACCTGTTAAGCAGTTTCACTTCAGTTAACATGGTAGTTTTACTATGAAGTCATAACTACATTTCCAATACAGATACAATATAATGTCCCATAAAATAGATCAAACATTAGTAAAGCCAGTGTAAGGTAGGACTTACAAGTTGTTTCTGTGGTTGTCTCTGTTGTGGTGGTCTTAGGAATTGAAGTAGTAGTCTCTTCTGGAAGAAAACAAAAGCAAATTAGAGAGGTCTGTGTTTATAAAAGGATGTCAAAGTTCTTTGTTGCTCAGTATATGCAAATTCTTATGAGCCATTTTGATATTTTAAACTGCTTTCCTGAACACCCTTTTCCTTTTATTATTATTGAAGCAAGCCATTTTGATATTTTAAACTGCTTTCCTGAACACCCTTTCCCTTTGATTATTATTGAAGCAGTCTTTCTTTCTTGGTTGAGCTGATGACATGGTGTGACAGGGCATCTGTCCCCCACTGACCCTTTAATGGTAGAGCTGAGAGAGGAAAGCCCCACAGCTGATGTTGATATTGCCAATTAGGGCCCAGCTGGGGTTGTATAAATAAGGGTTCCTTGAGGAAGGAGGACAGACACACTCTTGCTTTAGCTGAGGGAACAGAAGAGACCTGGCTGACAGCAAGCTGGAGGCTTCATGAAATAGGGCAGTGCTGGGAAAAGGCAAGCAGAGCTGGGGAGCTCTGGCCTGATCTCACTTCCAGGCTGCAAGGACTGAGGCAAGCCCTGAGTGTGCTAAGGCTGCAGGGAAATAGCCAGTGATAGGAAAAGGGAGCCGGTCTACACCCCCTTCCCAATGATGAGCAGCCATTTCAGACTGCAGTTTGCCCCTGAGGTAGAAGATAGATGACAACTGGTGGGTCACTGAGGCAAGGTGGATGTAGGGGAATTTGGCGTCCTGGAAGAGGAGGATCCCAGAGTGCAGAGACACAGGATTGCTGATAAACTTCCCCTCCTCCCCCAGAAGGGGGATGAGAGTCTATTGTAGTGGGCACTGCAGAAGTGCAGTGTTCTGAAGAGAGTGCTGGGGTCCAGGAGCAACGCGAGTCTAGAGTGAGGGCAAGGGGAGACACCAACCAGAAGGAGGTGCCCAGTGGGCTGATAGGAGCTAATTACCAGTGCTACCAGCAGGGGCACCATTGTGGGAGCTAATTCCCAGTGCTACCAGCAGGGACACCATGGTGATGAGTCGTGCCCCGCGACACATGTGTATATAGTGAAGGAATTTTCTTGTTTATTTTCTTTATACAATTAATAGAATGTATAGATGTCTTGTAAATCGTTCATCTACTTCATACTGGGTAATCTGAGGAATGTCCCAAATGGTCAAGGAACCTCTCAGCACCAGATCCCCTGCTAGTGCTAAATGCTACAGATACATTTACTTGGGTGAGCTATACCAATTTAAATAGAGTGATGATCCGGATTAAACATTATTATAGACCTCAACATATTCAAAGTAAAGTAATGTCCCAGAATCTACTGGAAGAAATCTTTACTTTCAATTTTCTACCAGATAAACAGGAGCTTATATAGATATGTAGTTCCTGTGAATTCCATTCCCTCAACTATACTATTGAGAACATCAGCTTTTGCTGTATTGCTTGAGGAGCACTTACTACAGTACTTATTACAATTTCTGTACCCACACCAAAGAAAATACAATTTTCAATGCCTACTGTGAAGGCCAATCCTTTCAAAAGATTACATTGTTTCTTTTTTCAGCAATATGAAAATGAAAGGGGTTGCATCTACATAAGAACTTAAGAATGGCCATACTGGGTCAGACCAAAGGTCAATATATAGCAGTATCCTGTCTGCCAATAGATGCCCCAGAAGGCAGGAACACATCAGATAATCATCACAGGATCCCTCTGCTGTCATCCATTTCCAGACAAACAGAGACTAGGGACAGCATTCCTCTTCTATCCTGGCTAATAGCCATTGGCTAACCTAATCTCCATGAATCTACCTACCTCTTTTTGAACCCTGTTCAAAAGTCCTAGTCTTCACAACATCCTCTAGCAAGGAGTTCTACAGGTTGACTGTGCACTGAGTAAAGAAAAACTTCCTTTTGTTTGTTTTAAACTTGCTGCCTGTGAATTTCATTTGGTGACTCCCTAGTTCTTTTATGGTAGAAATAAGTAATAACTTTCCCTTATTCACCTTTTCCACACCAGTCATGATTTGATAGACTTCTATCATATCCCTCTTTATTCTCCTCTTTTCTAAGCTGAAAAGTCCAAGTCTTTTCAAACTCTTTTTATATGAGATCCGTCTAAACCCCTACTCATACTATCATATCCCCCTTTATTCTCCTCTTTTCTAAGATGAAAAGTCCAAGTCTTTTAAAACTCTTTTTATATGAGATCCGTCCAAACCCTACTCATATTTGTTGCCCTTTTCTGAACCTTTTCCAATGCCAATATATCTTTTTTGAGATGAAGAGACCACATCTGTATGTGAGTGTAAAATGGTTTTATATAGAGACAATAAGATATTTTATGTCTTATTTGCTATCCCTTTTTTAATGATTTCTAACATTCTATTTGCTTTTTTGACTGCTGCTGCACATTGAGTGGATGTTTTCAGAGAACTACCACAAGGACTCCAAAATATCTCTCTTGAGTAGTTGTAGCTAAATTAGTCCCCATCATATTGTATGTATAGTTGGAATTATTTTTTCCGATGTGCGTTACTTTGCATTTATCAATATTAAATTTAATTTGCCATCTTGTTGCCTAATCACTTAGTTGTGTGAAATCTTTTTGAAGCTCTTCACAGTCTGATTTGGTCTTACCCATCTTGAGCAGTTTGGTATCATCTGCAAATTTTGCCTCCTCACTCTTTCTCTAGATGATTTATAAATAAATTGAATAGTATTGGTCCCAGGACAGACCTTTGAGGGACCCCACTAGTTACCTCTGCACTTGGAAAACTTACAATTTATTCCTACCCTTTATTTCCTGTCTTTTAACCCATTATCAATCCATTAAAGGATCTGTCTCTTTTATCCCATGACAACTTAATTTACTTACGAGCCTTTGGTGAGGGACCTTGTCAAAGGCTTTCTGGAAATCTAAGTATATTATATCCAAGTATACTGGATCCCCTTTGTCCATGTTTGTTGAACTTCTCAAAGAACTCTAGTTGATTAGTAAGGCATGATTTCCCTTTACAGAAGCCATGTTGACTTTCCCTCAACAAATTATGTTCATTTAAGTGTCTGACAATTTTATTCTTTACTATAGTTCCAATTAATTTGCCCGGTACTGATGTTAGACTTACTGGTCTGTAATTGCTAGGATCACCTCAGAGCCCTTTTAAAATATTGGTGTCATGTTAGCTATCTTCCAGTCATTAGGTACAGAAGCTGATTTAAAGGATAGGTTACAAACCACGGTTAATAGTTCAACAATTTCAAATTTGAGTTCTTTCAGAACTCTTGGGTAAATGCCACCTGGCCCCGGTGACGTATTACTATTAAGTTTATCGATTTGTTCCAAAACCTCCTCTAATGACACCTCAATCTGGGACAATTCCTCAGATTTGTCACCTACAAATGACAGCTCAGGTTTGGGAATCTCCCCAATATCCTCAGCCGTAAAGACCGAAACAATGAATTCATTTAGCTTCTCTGCAATGACTTTATCATCTTTGAGTGCTCCTTTAGCAACTAGATCATCCAAGGGCCTCACTGGTTGTTTATCAGGCTTTCTGCTTCTGGTGTACTTAAAAAACATTTTACTATTACTTTTTGAGTTTTTGGCTAGCTGTTCTTCAAACTCCTTTTTTGCTTTTCTTATATTTTTACGCATAATTTGACAGTGTATGCTCCTTTCTATTTTCCTCACTAGGATTTGACTTCCACTTTTTAAAGATCCACTTTTTTTCTCTCTCACTGCTTCTTTTGGTTCGTTGTTAAGCCACGGTGGCATTTTTTTGGTTCTCTTACTGTGTTTTTTTAATTTGGTGTATACATTTAAGTTGGGCCTCTATTATAGTGTCTTCAAAAAGTAGCTTGCAGAGATTTTACTTTTGTCACTGTACCTTTTAATTTCTGTTTAACTAACTTCTTCATTTTTGAGTAGTTCCCCTTTCTGAAATTAAATGCCACATTTTGGGGCTGCTGAGGTGTTTTTCCCACCTTAGGGATGTTACATTTTATTACATTATGATCACTATTTCCCAGCAGTCCAGTTATATTTATCACTTGGAACAGATCCTGTGCTCCACTTAGAACTAAATCAAGAATTGCCTCTCCCCTTGTAAGTTCCAGAACCAGCTTCTCCAAGAAGCAGTCATTTAAGGTATCAAGAAATTTTATGTTTGCATCCTGTCCTTAGGTGATGTGTATCCAGTCACTATGGGGATAGCTGAAATCCCCCACTATTACTGAGTGTTTATTTTGATAGCCTCTTTAATCTCCCTTAGCATTTCATAGTCACTATCACTGTCCTGGTCAGGTGGTCAATAATATATCCCTAGTGCTATATTCTTATTATTGGAGCATGGAATTACTACCCATAGAGAGTCTGTGGAACATTTTGGCTCATTTTAGAATTTTACTTCATTTGAGTCTACATTTTCTTTCACGTATAGTGCCACTCCCCCACCAGCACAATCTATTCTGACCTTCTAATATATTTTGTAGCCTGGTATGACTGTGTCCCATTGATTGTCCTCATTCCACTAAGTTTCTGTGATGCCTATTATATCAATATCCTCCTTTAAAATGAGGCACTCTAGTTCACCCATTTTATTATTTAGACTTCTAGGGTATGTCTAGACTACATGGCTCCATCAATGGAGCCATGTAAACTAGTTTACCCGCATAGGCAAAGAAGCGGGGATTTAAATAATCCCCACTTAATTAAAATAAACATGGCCACCGCACTGTGCCAACGATCAGCTGATCTGGCACAGCGCTGCAGTCTGGACATAGATCTGTCAGCTGGGGAAACCTTTGCCAACAGATCCCTTATGCCTTGTGAAATGAGGCTTACAGGATTGGTCGGCAAAGGCTTCCCCAGCCAACAGATCTGCATCCAGACTGCTTTGCTATGCCAGATCAGCAGATTGTCGGCACAGCATGGCGGCCATGTTTATTTTAATGAAGCGGGGATTATTTAAATCCCCGCTTCTTTGCCTATGCGGGTAAACTAGTTTACATGGCTCCATCGACAGAACCATGTAATCTAGACATATCCCTAGTGTTTGTATATAAGCACTTTACAAATTTGTCACTATTTATCTGTCTGACATTTCCTGATGTGTTAGATTCTTTTGCATTTGATTATGTCTTATCTGATCTGACCCATACTTCTATCCTCTCCTCCTGACTAGAACATAGAGAATCTCTATTAATAGACCTTCTGCTAAGAGATGTCTTTATCCAATTCATGTGCTCCTCCACACCGGTTGGCTTTTCTAGCCCCTAGTTTCAAAACTGATCCACAACCTTTTTAATGTTAAGTGCCCGCAGTCTGGTTACATTTTGGCTTAGGTGGAGCCCATCCTTCCTTTATAGGCTCCCCCTATCCCAAAAGCTTCCCAGGTTCCTAATAAATCTAAACCTCTCCTCTCTTCAGCATCATCTCATCCATGCATTGAGAGTTTGAAGTTCTGCCTGCCTACCCGGCCCTGCGTGTGGAAGCATTTCAGAGAATACTACCATAGATGTCCTGGATCAGCGTGTGGAACTGGAAGCATTTCAGAGAACACTACCATAGATGTCCTGGATCTCAATCTTTCCTAGCAGCCTAAATTTGGCCTCTAGAATTTCTCTCCTACCCTTCCCTATGCCATTGGTACATATGTGTACCATGACCACCAGTTCCTCCCCAGCACTACACATAAGTCTATCTAGATGTCTTGAGAGACCTGCAACCTTTGCACCAGCTCTGTCGAGTATATACTAACAGCTCCTTTGAGTATATTCTTAATAGTAACACCACAACTTCTTGTATAGCTGTACTATATACTTGTTGCTTGAGCTTCTGTCAATTATACATGCATTGTAAGTAAACTTAAATACTGAATTACAGATGCTAAGAGATGCTCCATTTAGCTAATAGAATCTATTCTGCCAAGTATTGAGGAGTCTGGCTTTGGCCCAGCAAAATATTTAAGCACATGAGTAGTCTCATAGACTTAAACAGGATTATTTATGGGCACACATTTTAGGCTGTGCTTAAATGTTTTGTTGAATTACAGTCAGATTCCTCAGCATCTACAGGATCAAATCATTTACATGACAAAGTGTAAATCTTGAATTACCTGTTTGTGGAGGTGCTGTTAGTCCAGAACCTGTTGATGTAGAAACATCAGATATTTTAGATATGAAATTCTCCTATTGCAGGTGTCTTTCACTGAGGATTTCATGTTTAAAACCAGCAGAAAAATCTTGGTTTTTTAAAAAAAGTAATTATATTAACCATTATGATATTGGTCTGGGAAGAAAATTCTTACATATATGAATCAAAATAAATCACACAGAAGTAAATGGAGAAATATTCCCTATTCTTAACTCAGCTGAAAAAACTTCTGACCTACACACACCCTAGATAGTTCAAAACACCACTCAGCTGTATAATCTACATCAACAGCTAATTACATTTCCTTTAACATAGGGTTTACAGATTTAAAGAACATTTTAGCAAAAAATGTCACATACTGAAAGGAAATGGTAAATCGAAAGCTTTTTAAAAAAACTCTTTACTCTGTTTTACCACAAATGCAAAGCTTATTTTCTCAGTATAAAAGCCAGATATGCAAGAAGAAAGACTACATACCTGCACATATGACACCAGCATCTCCATAAAAACCACATGAACCATATGCGTATTCATAAGGGCAATGCCACAACACATCTTCAAAGCCGGAACACTTCACTTTAGTCATCCAAGGATCTGCCCAGCTTTCACCAAAATAGCTGTATCTAAGAGCAGCAACAGGCTCACCACAACCCAGTTGCCTGCACACAACTTGCGCATCCTCCGTGTCCCACAGATCACCGCAAACTTTTACCCAGCCTCCAAAGTGAAAGATTTCAACCCGGCCTGCACAGCGGTTTGGCCCATTTGCAAGTCCTAGAGACAGATCTGAGAAAGACACAAAACAATGCCTTGCTAGACAATTTGTCCATTTGCACATGGAGGTATTTTATCCTATATTGACCACGCAGTGCCATTGATTTGAGAAGCTAGTCCCCTCCTGCCTCTCCATCGCACTATCCGAGTAGAGATGATTGTCTCAGCATAAAGATCAAGGATTCAGAGATCAATGTGGCTCACTCAAGAACTCCCACTAAATGAGGAATATTGGCCCATGCTGTGAAATCCACTTTACATTAACAGAGCTTCAATTTCATTACAGTATAATAAACATTAAATTCACATGACATTGTCCTTTTCCAAGGCACAAGACAGAAAGTTGGTACCTATGTACATAACATTGTAAATTCATGTAAGTACAAATGTGAACAATATGGTGTGTAGAAAGACTCACCATCACCCATAGTTTCAACTGAAAAAAAGCACATAACACAAAATATATTAGCACGAAATACTTAAGTGTCAAGGAATATTTTTCTTTTTTCTTGTCTAAATGTAATAACTTGTTCAAAAAGTATACATTTTTCAACCATCCAATGCTGTTTGTCACTAAAAAGAGGAGTAGGGAAAACTTCATATGGGCTCTACATTGTGTGCACCACAATACAACCCTTATTGTGCTCTCTATACACCTGTAGGAGGAGAGGTTTATGACTAGCTGTGAGAGAGGCTGGTTGTTCTGTGACTACATTATCTCTTATGAAGAGCTGCTGCCTGAAGAGTTAAAGTGGCATCTTAGAAGAGCTCTGAATTCAGGCTCCTGCTGATATTCCCTGCCCTATGTGACAGCACTTCTCAGGGATTAGCGACTGAAAATCGGTGGTCTCTATAATTATAGTGGGCCCATTGCTACATATCACAATACTTCCTTAATCATTCATCATTCTATTTTCAATTTGTGTGACAATACTTAGGTTCTAGACATACTAAGTGAAGTCTCCAAGGAATATTTCTGGGACAGTAACCAGATATCTTATATCTGAATCCAGAAATATGAAATCCCACTTCATTGTCTCTGCCAGAAATAGTGATCAGATTTCTTTCCTCTGATGAATTCTTTCAAACTAATGCTGCCCACGGTTATTATTCATATGCTTTGTCTTCTGCAGACATCATGCCAGTAATTTCATTTTAGTGAATGTTTAATAAACTGTAAAATTCTATTCCACATTTTCTGTAAGTGAGTACAATATAAAAGATACACAATATTTGTAAGGATAAAAATAGAACTTACAAGTGGTGGTCATAGTTGTAGTAGTTTCTGGAGTGGTTGTAGTGCTCTCTTTTGAAAATGACAAAATTGGAGACTTTTTTAATAAGGACATAAGAATCCATTATTTTACTGCTTCATGAATGCACATTTTCCTATTAATCATTGTGCTGTTGTAAATTACTTCCTTGGGAGCCTTTTTGGGGTTTTTTTATTATTGATGCAAAAAAAATTTCCATTTTTTAGCATGAAATGACACGGGAATCTGATCTGGCAATTTTTGTATGCCCTGGGTTTTTATACAGTAGTTACTCAAGGATGTAAGAGGACTTGTAAGTTTATTTACAATAGGATAATTTGCTGAATGCCCCAATAGGAAAAAAATCAAAAGGGCCACTCCTCTTCTGATGTACATTAGTGTGGATTACTAAGCAATCTGACTGTGGATTCATTGGCTTGAGTGGATTTACATCCATTTATATCAACTGAGAGGTCCCTTCAGTCAGAGGGCGTATAGAGTCAACCACTTGGGGAGCTAATTGTGAGGCTTTTTTAAAAAATGAGTATAGATAGCAGTTTTGCTTGGCTTTTTTCCATGTCATCTGTTTTAATCATGCCACACAAGCAGACTAGTCTTTCAAAATGACTCCATGAACAACGTTGGGATAATATGTGAAGAAAGTGCTCAATCAGCATGTCTCTCTGGCCGCAACGCACCCCTGACAGGCCAGGGATAGGACACAAGAGACTTCACATACTCCCTGATTGGCCTGGGGGCAGGAAGCATGCAAAACTCTCTCCCCTCCCTCCACTCCCCCACCAAAGGTGCACGGCAGCTAGAAATAAACTCCTGCTGTTTTTTAAAAGCTGGCGTGTCTCTCTAGCTGTCACAGGCTCTTGAGGGGGCAAGGAGACTTTACATACTCCCCCGTCCCCAGACCCTGATTGACCTGGAGCTGGGGGAGTAGCAGGGTGGCCACAGGCTGAATCCACCAGCTTGGTGGTATGGATCCGGCCCGTGGAAAGTCCTTTTCCCAACCCTGGGCTATAGTGCTAGTGAGTAGCACCCATTCTAAAAAAGTCCATAGCATGTGATGTGAGAAAATTTCTGAGCAGGTGTTAGAGCAAAATTGACATGGATACAAATTCTGACTTATAGGTCTACCAATCTACGAGTAGCATCTTACTGCTACAGGTTGGACTTCGCTAGTCTGACACCCTGGGGACCAGGGAAGGTCCCTCCCCTTGTGGCCGGGCTGCCCCCACTGCTGCCTCAGCCCCCCTCTGCTCTCTCCAGGCTCGCTGCTGCCAGGGCAAGAGTGCCATAGCCACAACTGCACAGCCGGGGCAGAGCTCCACAGCCGCCTGGCTCTGCGGCTGGGGCCAGAGCTCTGCGGCCAGGGTGGAGGGATGGAGCTGGAGCTCCATGGCTTGGGCCAGATCTCCCTGTCTGCCGCTGGAGTTGGAGTTCCCGGCTGCTGGGGCTAGAGCTCCCTGGCTGCTTCTGGGGTTGGAGTTCCCTGGCCAGAGCTGGAGGTCCACAACAGTGGCCAGGCTGGAGTTTCCTGGCCACTAGAGCCAGGGAGCTCGGTTGGGGCCAGAACTCCCCACCATGCCGTCCATCTTCCCTCCCCACCTATACACACACTTTGGGCTCCCAGATGTGTCACCAGTGCCCCAGTGGTGCGCCTGCCCCGCCGCCTATACACACACTTTGGGCTCCCAGATGTGTCGCAGTGCCCCAGTGGTGCGCCTGCCCTGCTGCTGACCTCCCTGTTTCTGGGCTCTGTGGTCCATGCTGGACCACGGATGTTACCAGACCAGGGAGTCCCAGTTAAGGGAGGTACAACCTGTAGTCCCCAATTGAGGGAAATTGTAAGTGCAGTGCTGAGGGGGACCGAAGAATAATGTGTGACTTTTCACAACCAACTATAAACTGATCATTTCTAAAGACAAGTTTTACATAAGCAATTTCTCTGCTCTTTAAATTTACACTTCTTAGAACAGCTAATTCAATGGGCTACTCTCAAATGTCTAAATTAGGAAGCAAGAACAAAAAGAGATTGCATCTATCAGCTCCTTTGAGTAAATTCTTCATAATTTCTTATCTAGCTGTATCATATGCTTGTTGCTACAGCGCCTGTCTCTTATACGTGAACTACGAGCGCATTCAGAACTAAAGTACAGATTCCAGAGATGTGCAGTTCAGCATAGAGAACCTACTCTGCCAGGTACTGAGCAGTCTGGCTTTGGTACTGCATAATATCTGAGTACATGTGTGGTCTCCCAGACTTCAACGGGAGTATTTATGGGCACACACTTTAACCTGTGCATTTAGCAAAGCATTTATTAGAGCCAGATTGTTCAACAGCTACAGAATCAAGTCCGTCATTTCATGACAAAGTATGAATCTTGAGTTACCTGTTTGTGGAGGGGCTGTTAGTCCAGAACCTGTTGATGGAGAAACATTTGACATTGTAATCATGGGACATTCCTGTTGCAGGGACCCTTCACTGAGGAGGTCATGTTTCAAACCAACAGAGCAGAAGTATGAAATGCCATGTTTTTTAAAAGTTAATATTACTAATCATTACAATAACTTTACAATACAATAATATTCTGCTGTCCCTGATTCAACCCAAATTCCACTGAACTTAACGTAGAAATATTCCATGACCGTAAGGGAGTTCAGATTGGGTGCATGGAAATCCAACAGATACAATTCCTGACCTATACATCCTTTAGATAGTTCATGATGCCACTCAACAGTACCATCTACCTCAACAGTTAATTACATTTCCTTTAACATAGGGTTTACAGATTTACAGTATGTTCAGCTATAAAATGTAAAGTATACTGAAAGAAAAACTGTAAATCAAACTTTAAAAAAAAATCTTCAGTCTATTCTACCACAAACATAAAGTTGACTTCCTTAGTTTAAAGCCAGATATGCAATAAAAGAGACTACATACCTGCACATATGACACCAGCATCTCCATAAAAACCACATGAACCATATGCGTATTCATAAGGGCAATGCCACAACACATCTTCAAAGCCGGAACACTTCACTTTAGTCATCCAAGGATCTGCCCAGCCTTCACCAAAATAGCTGTATCTCAGAGCAGCGACGGGCTCACCACAACCCAGTTGCCTGCACACAACTTGCGCATCCTCCATGTCCCACAGATCACCACAAACTTTTACCCAGCCTCCAAAGTGAAAGATTTCAACCCGGCCTGCACAGTGGTTTGGCCCATTTGCAAGTCCTAGAGACAGATCTGCGAAAGACACAAAACAATGCCTTGCTAGACAATTTGTCCCGTGGAGGTATTTTATCCTATATTGATCCCGCAGTGTCATTGATTTGAGAAGCTAGTCCCCTCCTGCCTCTCCATCGCACTATCCGAGTAGAGATGATTGTCTCAGCATAAAGATCAAGGATTCAGAGATCAATGTGCCTTGCCCAAGAATTCTCACTAAATGAGGAATATTGGCCCATGCTGTGTGCTGGGATTTTCTGGGAATGAATAGACGTCACTAGGCATTAGCACTCTGAACCACCTTTCTCACAAAACAATGCCTTACTAGACAATTTGTGCTAGCCCTGGAATTCCCACCAAATGAGTAATATTGGCCCATGCTGTCAATGCTGGGTTCTGGGAAGAAATAGGAGACTTTGGACTCCAGTAGTCTGAATCATCTTTCCCAAGCATGAAATCCACTTTACATTAACAGAGCTTCAATTTTATTATAATCAAAATCAAATTCACAGGCTCATTGTCCTTTTCCAAGCCACAACACAAAGCTGGTACCTATATACTGTACATAACATTGTAAATTCATATAAGTACAAATGTGAACAATATGGTGTGTAGACAAACTCACCATCACCCATAGTTTCAACTGAAAAAAAGCACATAACACAAAACATATTAGCACAACATGCTTAAGCTTCTGGAAATATAATTTCTTGTGATAAACCATATAAATAAACATAGTAACTTGTTCAGAAAGCCTACATTTTCCCGTCCCGCCCCTCTCCTTCCCATCCAATGCTATTTGGCACTAGACAGAGGACTTGAAAAAACTTCATGTGAGATCCACAGTCTGTGTGCCACAGAACACCCCTCATGATGCTCTCCATACCCATGCAGAAAGGGAGCTTTATGGCAAGCTGAGTGTGTGGCTGGTTGTTCTGTGGCTACATCATCTCCCATTATGAGCCCATGCTGGCTGGGGAGCAGGGCTGGGATGGAGAGAAAAGGCCCATACCAGCCATGGAAAGGGTTCAAGTAAGGTGGCCATTCATCCTCTTTTAGAGGACAATCCTGGTTTTTGCTTCTCTGTCCTCTGTTGATATGGAACAGGACACCTGTATGTCCGCGATTGTTTTCTTGAGACCAGAGGTAAAAGTAAGCCAGTGCATCTTGGTGTGGCACTCTGGCAGGAGACAGCTGGCCAGCTGAGGTGCTTGGCTGCAGCTGCTCCCCACTGGGCTGAGCTCCTGGGGCTCGTCGTGCTATGCCGCAGGTAGCCAGGCAGGTAAAAGAGGCTGGTTGGGGTGTACGTGCCTCCCTGTCTGGGACGCCCCACACCCTAACTCTCCCCACAGTATCCTTTTCAATAAAATGATGTAAATTAGATGTATCGAAAATGCAAATGAAGCCGGGATTTGAATTTCCCACACTTCCTTTGCATAATGGCGGCGGCCACTTTTTTTTTAAATGGGGCATTTTTGGAAAAAAAAAACCCTGGCAGAGGTGTGCAGGATCTTTCAAAATGGGGCATTTCTGTTGACAATGCCTCGTCTAAACTGCCGGTTTTTTCGAAAAGCCCCATTCTGAAAAAAAAGCGGCAGCCGCCATTATGCAAACAAAGCACGGGATATTTAAATCCAGCTTCATTTGCATTTTCAATACATCTAATTTACATCCCTCTGCCGACAGAGGGGTGTAGTTTAGACATACCCTCCCTGAGAGGAAGAGGAAGAAAAGCAGCAGCAACCTAATATGTGCTGCTGCAGGCATCCCCCTGGCTACTGAAATGGCACCTTTGCGCTCTCTGCATTCACTCCTCCACCTCCAACCCTGATGCCTGAATCACCTACACCCCCTGCCCATGGCCCCCCACGCACTAAATGCAATTAACCTCTATTCCTGAGGTAATTTGATGGCTGCCCTATGGATTGGGGGAGAGAGAAAAAGCTGGAGCTGTCTAAGGGGGACTGAAGGCAGAAAGGCGGCTTGTGCCAGCCAGGGGGAGGAGAGAAAGGACTGCTGGATGGGACCCCCTTTCCCTGAACCCCTCCTCATCCTCCAACCATTGCTCTTCCACCCACAGCCTTCTGCCCTCCTCCACACGCACCTTAAGCCCTGCCCTGACTCCTGCACACACACCCTACCCACCAGCCCCCTGCCCTGAAGGCCCTGGGCAACACCAGGTCAGCCTTCTGCAATCATGAGGCTACTAATTGCATTTTAGTGAGTCTGTTTGATAAACTGTAAAATTATATGCCACATTTTTTGTAGGTGAATACAATATAACAGATACAATATTTGTAAGGATAAAAATAGAGCTTACAAATGGTAGTTGGCTCTGGTGTCGTCGTTGTGGTAGTTTCAGGAGTGGTTGTGGTAGTTTCATAAAAAGATGTAGTGCTCCCTTTTTCAGAAAAGGACAAAATTAGAAAATTGTTTTAATAAGGACACAAGAATCAATTATTTTACTGCTTCACATATACACATTTTTCTATTAACCTTAGAGATGTTGTCAATTACTTTTCTGTAAGTCTTTTGTTTTTACGATTATTGATGCAAAAATGTATTTTCTTTTTTTGCACAAAATGATATGGGAATATGATTTGGCAATGTTTGTATGCCGTGGGTTTTTATTAAATAACTACCCAAGGTTGTAAGATGACTTACTTGCATGTTGTTTATTTGCAATGGGATAATTTGCTGAACACCTCAATAGCCCCCCCCCTCCCCCCGCAAAAAAAACCCTAAAAGGGCCACTCTTCTGATGTAAATTAGTTTAGATCCATTGGCTTGAGTGGATTTACACTGACATCTCTTCAGTCAGAAGGAACATGGAGTCAGTCAACTACTTGGGTGAGGGGGTCAGTTGTGAGACTTTTTTAAAAAATGTGTATAGATAGCAGTTTTGCTCAGTATTTTTTCACATTATCAGTTTTTCACACAGGCAGATCGGTATCCAATGTGCAAAATGATCCTATGAATAGCAACATAGGGACAAAATGCAAAAAAAATGACCATGCCAATATCGGCACTGCCGCACAGAGGATTCATTTCCTTTAGAGTTCATATAGCTCAAGATAATATGTCTTGATCCTGGAGCAAATGAGCAAACAGTAATGGTAACCAGCAGATAGGGCAGCCAGCTAGATCCAGCTGGGAGCATACTGCACATCAAAGCCTGCTTGTTTTTGGAACTTCCTAGGTTGTATTATACATGCTGGAGTGAACAGTGCCCATAGACTATTTGGTCATCTTCGACCCAGGAAGGGGTGTAGCACCAGGCATGTACTCTATTTCAACCAAACAGAAAGCACTGCATCTCTGCCACCTAGGTCCCTGAATTGGCTCTGCACAACCCATACTGCACGGCTGTGTCTAGACTGGTAAGTTTTTCCGCAAAAGCAACTGCTTTTGCGGAAAAACTTGCCAGCTGTCTACACTGGCCGATAGAATTTCCACAAGAACACTGACATCCTACTGTCTGAAATCAGTGCTTCTTGCAGAAATACTATTCTGCTCCCATTCGGGCAAAAGTCCTTTTGTGCAAAGCTTTTGCGCAAAAGGGCCAGTGTAGACAGTTCAGATTTGTTTTGCGCAAAAAATCCCCGATCGCGAAAATGGTGATCAGGGCTTTTTTGCGCAAAAGCGCGTCTAGATTGGCATGGACGCTTTTCCACAAAAAGTGCTTTTGTAGAAAAGTGTCTGTGCCAATCTAGATGCTCTTTTCCGCAAATGCTTTTAACGGAAACCTTTTCCGTTAAAAGCATTTGCAGAAAATCATGCCAGTCTAGACGTAGCCCAAGGCTTTTTCTAAATAGAGCTATGAAACCCTTAAGTAGCAGGAACATTTCTGAGTGCAAGGAGTGCTTAGCTCAGACAAACACAATCTGCCAGGGATGTGAATAATACAAGCATCTGGAAGAATGAAACAGTAAGAAAAGTGCAGCTGAATAGGGCATGGGGCAGGTGGAGATCACACGCGAAAGCTCTGGACAAATAACAGGACTTTTGATAATAGAGGTAAGTTAAAATAGCCGAACAAACAAAAATGAAAATCATGGAAACCTTAAAAGCAGAAAGACATGAGCTAGAAGGTGTGTGAATGGGAAAGGATTTGGACTTAACAGACATCACTGAAACCTGGTGGAATGGCACAAATCAGTGGAGAAGGTTTAGTAAGGAGAGATGAGGCTATAGTGTTACTTGGTAGCGCCCATTCTAAAATAATCCATAGCATGTGATGAGATAAAATTTCTGAGTGCGTTATAGAGCAAAATTAGCATGATCACAAATTCTGACTCCTAGGTGTACCGATATACTAATACAGGTTGAATCTCCCTAATCCAGCACTCTCTGGTCTGGCAACATCCTTGGTCCAGCATGATTTTAGTTAGCGGGATGTCCACTTATCATGGGTGTGGCCAAGTTTCCTGTGGTCCCCTAACATTTGTTTCCAGCCACTAGTCCTGGCTCTCAGTGTTCTGTGCTGTTATTTAGCCCTAATTTACCCCTAAATTTTTCTAACATCCCAGTAAGCAGTGAAAGTGTTGGTAATGCTGCTAAACAATACTGACCTCCCGTGATTCAGTAAAGTCTCTGGTTTGGTACTAGTCAAGGAAAATGATGCCAGATTTAACCTTAGAATAAACTGAGTAATTTTTAAATATATTTGAAAGAGAAATGGCAGAATTGATAGTGACATCGCCCCTTGGTTAGTTTTTCATCAAATGCCAGGTGCAGTATTTTGCCATCCCAGTAAACCTTGTTGCACGAGGGATAAGGGATGGCTCGAAATACTTTTATTTTGAAATCTGGCTCTGTGTAGATGCGCCAAATTTCAAAATAAGCTATTTCGAAATAAGATACATAATTTGCGCTATGCAAATTGAGTATCTTCTTTAGAGTTTAGGATGCTGTGTAGACACACCCTAAGAGTCCGGTTGCACATTAAAGACCAACAATTTTATTATGGCATGAGATCTGATTAGTTGTAACTCACTTAAAGGTGATGCCATAATAAAACTGTTAGTCTTTAAAGTACCATCAGATTCTTTGTTGGTTTGGGGTTTGATGATTTATTTTGAATGAGCGTCTTTCATGGCTCTAAAAGGGTTAGCTCCACCTTGTGGATACATTTAAAAAAATATTATTTATCTGTTATAGTGTCTTCAAACACGTTGTTAGCTTACCTGAAGAGCTTACAATATTAGCTAAGACAAGATACAAGATGTTGGTTTAACTGATTCAAATACTGGAATTTAAAATTTGCAGAGCTCAGTCCAGGGTCAATGGCCACAGCACATTTCCCTATTCAGTATCAAATACAACATTCTTTAAATTCACTTATCTAGGGCCACAGTTGGGATTACTTGGGGCAAATGAATGCAGAAATTGGCCAAATGGATTTTATGGAAAAGTTGTTGTTCTCTCTCACCAGGAGAAGTTGTTCCAAAGAAACATCTCTCATTCACTTTAACAGAGGTTCTATAGAATTTAATAGAAAATTATACCCTATCATTTTTAACAGTTCTAAACATTTAATAGGGATTTATAGTCCTGCTAAAAAAATCTATACAATGATTCAAAAAGGACATCACAACTATTATATTATATAATTTTTACAACAGTCTCTAGCAAATTCTACTATATTCCCATAGAATTCTGCATCCCTGTAACGTTTTCCATATGGGATATTTAATAAGTACATTGCACTTACAACCAAGGCAATTGTATAACAACGTTTTCATTTTGGTAAGGAAAACATTCCCCATCCAATAATAACCTTATAGCATGATCAGTTGGTTCACAGTTGCCAAATCAGACATTCTACATTGTTCACTATACTCATACCCAGCCAAGTTAAAAGGGTGGTATGTGTCCTTTTGTTTTTATTTAACTGACCAAGAAAGAATGACTGAATCAATCTTATGTGAGCTTGAAAATAAAAAAAAATGGATCAACTAAATTGTACCAAAATTTCCCATAAATAAAAAGGTCAACTTGAGACTAAACTTGAAACTCTCCCCCCTCCCACACACATACAAATAGTGAAAAATGTGTCAGCTCCAAGGTATTTTCATCTGTTCACGGATTCATCGGCCCAGGTGAATGCCCTACACACTGTGCTCAAGATTAAGGGTACGTCTAGACTACACACTTCTTTCAAAAGAAGCTTTTTAGAAAGAATCTTTTGAAAAAGCTTCTTTCGAAAAAGATTGACAGCCACAACTTTTTTCAAAAAAGCGATTTGCTTTTTTGAAAGAGAGCACCCAGGCAGTCTGGATGCTCTCTTTCGAAAAAGCCCTGTTTGCATTCAAGAACGCCTTTTTTCGAAAGAGCTCTTTTGAAAAAAGAAGTTCTTCCTCGTAAAATGAAGTTACCAAGGTTACCGTTGTTAAAAAAACGCCATGTTCTTTCAATTTAATTTCAAAAGAATGTGTCGGCAGTCTAGATGCAGGTGAAGTTTTTTCAAAAAAGTCCACTTTAAAAAAAAAACCTGTAGTCTAGACATAGCCTAAGTGAAACAACGTACCTGCTGTCTCCTCCACTTTCCACTCACTAAATATTTCCATTAGGAATGTAATTCTACACACCTACTCACTGCTACCTTGGTGAGAGGTGCAAAAAATAGAGGTGCCTGAAATAGCCAAATGCATAATGCATAGAGAACAGTGCACATAATCTCTCCTGGGTCCTGGGAAGCAGTAGTGAAGGGACTGGGCAGTACAGGGGAAAGTTGCGAGAAACACAAGAAGAACAGAGAAAGAAAGGTGTCTGAGTCAAGACCTTCAGATACTTGGGAGGCCAGCCATCTGTGTAGTGGGGAGCACAGAGATAGCTCAGATCCTATGAGTGGTAGGCTGGAAGAAGCTCCAGATTAAGCAAAGGGCATTAGAGGCTGAGCCCGGGCTATAACCTCTAAAGTCCCTGTGTTCTGGGCCAGCCCCCCCTGGCAGGGCAGGCAGGAGGCAATTCTGTGTGCTGCCATTCATATTCCTCCCTCACCCACCCCTCCATCTCCCACCTCAGCTGGAGCCATGTCACCACAAACATTGGGAAGCTCTGTCCCTGCACCGTCCTCACCTGGAGGCTTTGCCTTCACAGCTCCCATTGCCTGGGAATCACGGCCAATGGGCGCTGCAGGACACAGTGCCTGTGGGTGAGCATAAGGACAGCACTGGCTTTGCAGAACCACCTGTCCCCGCTCCCTCACCAAATGGGAGCTGTCCCAGATAAACGCCCTGTACCCCAACCCCTGCCCCAACCCTGAGCCCTCTCCTGCACTCTATGTCCCTAACTCCCATCCACACTTCCTGCTTTAAGCCTGTTCATCCCTTGGCCCCAGCCTAGAGTCTCCTTCTGCACCCCAAATACTTCACCCTCAACCCCACCCCAGAACCCACATGCCCAAGTTGGAGCCCTCACTCCCTCCTACTCCCAACTTCCGAACTCAACCCACAGCCCACTCCAGCACACTGAACCCCTCCATTTTTGGCTCTGGAGCCTAGGAGATCTCACAAAATCTGATAGCCCTGGGCCACGCAGAAGATTTAATCTGGCCCTGGCTGGAAACATACTTTGTTAGGGAAGAAGCCCAAATTCAAAGTTATTCTGAAGAAACTGCCTTGTCTTAAGGTCACTTATAGGATTAAAAGATTCATCCTTACCTCTTTCTCATAATCATTCATAAATACAGTTACATACATAAAAACACAAGTTATTGCTCACTTGCACTTCACAAATCTCATTTTACTAAGGGCCTGATGTAAACAGAAAAAACGATTATGCTGCTTCACTACTAGATCTGAAGATCACCCACATTGTTTCCGGACGTTATATCACATGAGCTTTACAGGGCTGTTTAGAATAGGTTGGTTCAAACATTTTGAACAGGCTACCTAAACTAATCACAAGGTAACAAAAAAGAAAACCACTAACAAAGTGGAATATGCCAGCAATATAGTTCATTTAACCCAAGTACACTATGATAATGTCACAATTCTATTATTACATTTTGTTAAAATATGTTTGGTGAAATGTAACCTGCATTATTCAATGTGCACCTAAAAGTATTACTTTTGAAGCACTTAAAAATAAATGTGCATTTTCGCAAGAGATTCCATAATTCCTCCATAATTCACACTTTGAAGACAAAATTTTGGAGACAATAAATTGTTAACTTATAGGTGACAGATTGACTTGATTTTAATTGTTGTACCAGCCACTAACACAAAACATTAGGTGGTGGGAGCAAGGTTAATTCCACAATAATAAGCAGTTTATTTAAATGGCTCATATAATATCAAACAGTTAACTAATTTGTTTTGTTCACATGTTGCAACAGAATGGAGCTGTGCTATCCAATGAGGCCATACATTGACACTACCTTTAATCTTTGCACAAAGCTCCCATTAGTGTGACTGGGCATTCTAGATGTGGACACAGTGAAAGTGAGCAAAAGTTCTCTCTAAATTTTTGTAAGAATGACTTTGAAAGAATTGGAGGCATTTTACCTGCGGCAGGCTGCAGAGTTCCCAAAATTGGCAGAAACATCCAAACGAAGATCATTGTGACACCCATCGTGTGAGGACTTCTTAGGAACGGAACATCAGAATTTATAGGCTGTGACTATGAAGGGGTGTGTCTTAGCACTCTGCTCTGCATGTACAGTTAATCAATACCAATTCATTTCAGTCATAAAGGAAAGTGTGTTTAATTTGTTCTGCTTTTCAGTTTATGTTGTAACCTCCTGGTCTCCACCAGAAGATAACAGTTAACAATAGCAATTCATATTTCCTTAAGGAGAACTTTCAACATAAATTCTCCCACATAAGTTTAACTCATGTATGAATCAAAAGTTCTCTTTTTGTCTCTAGAGTGGATCCAGGTGCTTTATTCTTCCCAGCTACTGCTGGTGGCATGAAAGGGAGAGAATCTTTGGGACAGTAAGAAGGAATTTTTTGTGGTGTTTGAAAGGCCAATCCGTTGTCTGCAGTACGTAATTTATTAATATGATTGAGTCACAGCATCACAAAATACTGCCAAATATCTGTATCTTTTATTAGTGTCTTATTGACTTGTGACATTTTAGTTCTCCCAGGCCAGTAACAGGTTCAGTCACTGTTTGCCTTGTAATCCTGAGTGTCTTATGAATGTGCAGTTTTGGGTCCAGAGCTGTCACCCTAGCCACCTGCCAGCAACCCACTAGCCTCATGCTGTCTAAATGAAGCTAAAAGTATCGTCCAGCCCAAAATTCACCCTAAATCATGGTATGGCAGGAACCAGTGCCTCTGTCTGGCCCCTCACAAAGCAAGTTGCACATTTGCTGCCTTTACAAAGAGAATAAAATAATCCATGCGCTTAGTTTTCTTGGACCATAGTTTATGCAGCTTACATAACACAGATGATTTATAATGAAAGCAAAGTAAGTGTATTAATCAAAGAACAAGGATTAAGTGAAACAAAGTACAAGGGATAAATGTAGAGATCATTACAAGCAAATAAAAGTGAAACTATGCTTCTAAAAGACCAAAACTTAATCTAGCAAGATACAGTCCTGGTTGAAGATGGTTTTTCTCACTCGCACCTCTCCTTTCCAGGTTTTCTTTGACCAGAGCCCATCACAGAGATCGAATTACTTGGTTCTTTTGTCTCCTTAGGTTAAAAAAAATGGAAATCTTCTTCTGATATCCCCAAGGGGAATATCTGTGTTTAACAAGTCAGGAAGTCCTCAAGGGGTTTCAGTCTCCTCTCTCTCTCTGGGGTGCAGGAGCCATGTAAATTCTGTCTCTTGAGTTCAGGATCACGGCTGGCTTCACTTCATCACATTGTTTATTGCTCATATGTAAGCAGAGGTAAACCCTCATTCTTTTGTTTAGAACAGACTGGTTTGGCACCTTTACCTAAGCTAGATTGTCTGGCCTTAAACACATCATAGAGAGGGCATTCATAACTTCATATAGAACATTAACACATGCATTTTGCAATATTAATTCTCAGCAGGTTATTTCTTGTTATAGGCTACTCTATACAACCTTTGCTAGATGAATGCCATAAAAACAGAGTGCTGGGTGTAGCAAGTTGGATGGTTCTGATAAGTGACAGCATGCCCTATGCCAGTGAGCATCTAGTGGTCTTAGGATCTCACTACTGATATCATTTTAGTGCGAAAACAGACTTGGAACTATCTGCTTGGCTCCCCCACATTTTCACAACTATTCTCATGAATTCTTTTGTGCCTGATCTATGTCAGACACAAATTCAGTACAGAGTGGACAACAAATTCAGTTGTCTTCACAATTCATGCTTTCAAAGACAATTGATTGTTACAGGGCATAAGCCCCATTGGCCCACGAATGACAGTGAGATACTAAAAATCATCACTGATCAAGCAATGCAAAATGTTTGCAGTAAAATCTATAGCCAACAAAGTCATCTCTCTTTGGTCTGAGTTTTGACTTGAATTTGTAATTTAAAACATGTTTAGTGAAAGATTTGCTAAACTTCATAAACCTTTCCAGAGAACCTGGACCAGCTGATTTCTTTTTATGAAGTTGTGGGCAAATTTGTGGATTTTACACAAAATCAAATGAAAATCAGGTTTTTAATTAGACTATATGTTCACTGAAACCTGAAATGTAGTGTAGAAAAGGAGACATTGAAATGAAATTTTAAAAATATCTTGTATGAATTCCTCATGAGGTTGTGCATAGCTATAATCACATTGTCAGCTTAAATACGGATTTATCATACCATTAGACAAGACTGTACAATACCCATCTATTATACTATTTGCCAGAATGTCTATATTGTGTTTCTATAACTTAAATTTGTTTTAATAAAGGTAAGTTGTTAGCCTCTCTCTCATTCAACTCCCAACATGAAGAGCCAATAGACTGATTTTTCATCTGGTCCAATTTGACCTGCAGGCTTGCAATGGCACTACCAGGAATTAAAATTCCTGCTAGTATAGTTCTCCAGGTTATTGTCACACACAAGCTTCCATATCATTACACAACCTCTTTATTTTTGAGCACTTCTTATCTTAAGATAAGATATCTTAAGATATTCAGTTTTACAGGACATTTTTTGCTGTCCGCCAACTCATTCCCAAAAATTTAAATAAATTGAGAATCATTTGCACAGATCACCAGAGGGTTATGAGGGTCAGAGGTGGCCTATGGACCACATGATGAGAAACCTTGTTGTAAATGTAGATCATGCAGAATTATGGCCTGAGTCAGACCCTGAGATGGTTATAAAATTCAACTAAAATCAACAGAGATGCATTAACATTAGCTGGAGATCTAGATCCATTTATACAGAATTTGCTTGGCTTTTTTGTTTTGTTTTTTATAATGCAGTATTCCCTAGCTGATCATGGTAAAAAATGGTTTGTGGACATTTATTTGAAATCATGGTTCTTTGTTTCTACCATATTTTACAGTCTGCTCATATATGGATTTGGGTTACAATAATGTTCAGTAAATAAAGTATTTCTTGAGGACTCAGAAAAATACTAGGTTCCTACTGAAAAACATTAAGATACTGTCTCTGCCCTTAATAGCACAGACTGAATTCAACAGGATAAAACAATCAAAAATTATAAGGAGCAAAAGAGGAAGATACAAACATTATAGTGAAAAGAACATGTTTGCACAATTAATGAGACAATATACAGCTTGTTGGTATTGTACATTCAGGCTGTTTTCTTCTTTATTACAACTCATGCATACCAGATAAGTGGAAGTAAATATTTGAGAGAGATCTGAACGTGGTAAAGGATGTTGCTTGGCAAACAGACTTGTTAAGGTTTACCAAAGGGGAACAATAAAGAAGGCACAAAACAAAAGTCAATGAAAGGAACAAAAAAAAAAAAAAAGCATAAAGGGAATGGGAAATGCGAAAGGCAAAGTGTCAGAGAAATGAAAACAAGCCACAAGGAAAGCTTAATCTATATGTACTAGGAGACAAACAAGGCTATGTTTAAAACTTCAAGTAAATATGATGCTGATTATTCTGTGCTCAAATAAATATTTTCATGTGAATAATGAAATTCATGCATGAACAAGATCACTACTTACAATTTCCCCATTTCAGACATTTTGACAGGAAAAATAACCAATACTGAGAGGTTTTGCTGACCTATCACACATTGGTTAGTGGAGCAAAAACAACTCACAGCACAATACTTCTCCGAAACTCTTAAAACTATTCTGAATAGCAATTAAATTAATAAAAATCCATTCACACATGGTTCAAGCAGAAAAATAACTAAACTGGTCAGGTAATTTATTCACAGTCCATAATTCTGCCAACTCTTTTCTTCAGCTCAGACCTCAAAGTGTTTGCAATTGCTTTCTCATGGGTTAGTTTTAGGAGAATTCCATTGTCAGACAAGCCCTTCATTGTCAGTGTGAATAAATAAAAAATATAATGAAAGATTAATGTGGGCACTTACTGTGCTAAATGTGCTTTCTCCCTACCTACCCATAGTGTCTGCTGTAATATCTGGATAAATTTTCATGGGTAACTTCTTCTTATTGGTTATCCTAATAATGACAAGGTCTTTTCCTTTCTTGCACTGTAAAAGAAATTCCACAACATTTTGAAAAAACCTTCTCCTGAAAACTCTTTTCTGTCAGCATTCCCTGATGTCTAACTCAATTGACTATTATCACCAACTTTTTTTCTAATCATGATGTTTTGAGTGGTGTTCATTTGGGAACTATTTAAAGGGCACATAAGATTAAGCAGATATTAACAGCTACAACTTTGAGAAAACACTTGTTTGAAGAGACTGTTCATGACCTTCCTAAGCAGGGAATGGCCCCTTGACTGCTTATCAAGGCATAGTAATGAGGCAGTGTAGTTTACCTGATACCACAAACCGGGGAAGTTAGCACTTTAGGATTCTACTTTCTGGCTCTGTCCCTGGCTTTCCTGTGTGACCTTGAGCATGTCACAGTGGGTACTATGTTGCACACAGTTCAATTTAATGGAAAAACTCCCCAGTGACTTCAATAGAGAAGGATCAAGTCTAGAATTTCATGTACTTTTAGGAGTGGGCTTACTTTGAACCTCTGACCTACAGCTGTTATAAATGTGTACGCTATTGAAGTCTTCTTTTTAGTACCTCATTTTTATATGGTATATTTTATGAAATCGTGATTAACTTATCAAGAAGTTTCCATGAATATAAGGTCATCAGGAGACTAAATTCTGTCTACATGAAAAGATTGCACACATACCAGACCATTGCTGATAGCATATCAGCATCCTATGCTTTCTGACCTACTATCTGATTGCAAGAAAACAGTAACAGCTCAGAAGAGGTCGGGGTGCACCTACCAAAGGAACGTCCTAACATCACATTGTACAGTGTCTGCTATCATTATGCAAATATTTTTCTGCATTTGGAATTGCAGATACAAACAGCTACACTAAGAATACTGGTGTCCATTAATTTCAGTTGGTTAATAGAGAACCACTGATGTATTAAGTATGAAGATAGTGATGATTAATCTATTGATCGAGCAAACAAACGTGTGATTTATACCACCAGTTATGTAAGGGTTATATTGTTCTATTATACCACCCTTGCAA